TAATTGACAACCATTTATCAAGTACTTATAAACTTACTCATTATCGCCATTCTGTGAAGAAGATTGGGAGCATGATCTCCTGGTTCTTTGAGGCGATTGACATCGCTGTGAAGCTGATTGAGTAGTCTCAGTACTATGAGATGAGGTCGACCGTTGGCGTTTGCGGCTATCTATATTGGTGAGTGATTATTAAGAGGTTAGTAACTGGTTTTGAATAGCTGAAAGTGGTTGATTTTAAACACTTACTTTCCCGACTCATATGGCGAAGATAGTTGGCTTCCATATTTGATGTTCGATATGAATGATGCACATTAAACTGTCTGAAGTTGTTATATTGAAGAATGTCATCTTTGTCCAACTTCGCAGAACTAGATATTATTAGTGTTGGAGAATAAAGTACTCTATAAGTGGTTGTTAAGTGCTTGTACTTACTTTTTAACCGCTTCAACCAAAGTCAAATACTTGCCAGATGCATATGATTCTTGATGGGACTGTTCAACAGCATTTGTGTGATTGCGTAAAATATCAAAGTAATAAGGTTGAATTTTGGAGCATGCTTTATTCAACCCTGCTTTGATAATTGTACTCTTCTTTTGTTTTGCCCAGTTCTGAACATTGACATCCTCATATTCTATAAGTAGTTAGCAACTACCTGACAATCACTTAATAAGTGGTTGGATACTTATTAGTAGGTCAAGCAAGGTATCATAATCAGCCTCAGATTTGCAGTCTAATAGACTCATCATACGGCTCCAAAGAGAGGAACCTTGATTTGTAGTTCCAATAGTCTTCAGAATTGACCGTTGAAAATGGACTCGGCAAAATATAATTATGTGTTGCAAATGCCATGTCACATCTCGATGCTGAGGGTCGATTTCAGAAAGATATTGGCCAAGTCCTAAGTACTCAGTATATACTTGTTACTTGTTAACTGGTTGATAAGCGCTTACCTGTATATTGTTTCGAGTCCATATCAACAATAATACCATGTATTCCAGACCCATGAATTGGATCAAAAAGCACTGGCTGCTGAGAAACTTTTTGGATCAGATTAAAAACTCGTTTGAAGAGTAGATAATATCCCTCAGTAGAATCTTCACTGGTAAAGACTCGTAGTAAGGTGATAACTAGTTAACAACTGATTAGTAACTAGTTTCTAATTACATATGTAACACTCACTTTTGCACTGATCTGATAAGAATGTTGCGAAAAGCACCTCATTCATTTTTTTGGATCGAATCCGCTTGTAAGACATGTCCACTTCAAAAGAGGGAAGATGAGATAGAAGCTGAATCTGTTCTCTAAAGCCACACAGAACCATGGTACCCTGCGAATCATGATATTGCTCTTGGATGTAATCCTAAGTACCGAGTAAGTGTTAATGAATCACCTTATAAGTATTTGTACTTACGTTGACGTGTTGGTCGATGTTTTGAAGAAAGAGAAGACCATTAACATCTTGTCCGTCAGGATAGGAAAGTAGACGTTGTTTTTGGATGATTGCGGCAATCCGGTCTTTATTGCAAAAGGCAGAGTGAATCTCTGCTAATGTAGAAGCATTATACTGCCGACAAAATGCCTCAAGCTGTGGATTGCGAAGAAACTGTGCTAAGAACAACTGGTTAGAAATCATTTCTAAATCACTTACCAGATACATACCTGTTGTCAAACTTGGGTCTCGAATTTGTTGAATAATACTTTTTACCCCTTGTAAGATTCTCTCCGGTGCCTTGCTTGGTGGTGGTGGTGGATGCTTATGCACACCATGTGATGTGAATAATATATATGAACATTGATTAATATCCACAGGTACCAAAGCATTAAAAGTAACATCACAAGGTGTATGCTTCAATCGTCCTGATCCTTGAGGATGATCTCGACCTTTCAATCAGTTAATAAACAGCTAATAAGCAGTTAATAAATACTTACCACAATATTTTCGTCGGGATGATAAAGGTTCAAAAACACTACATTCTTCGGTTGCTGGCATAATCTCTTTATTAAAGAGATCTTCAAGAAACTGCAAATCAATAACTGTGTGACCTTGAATTGCCCCTCTATGATGTTTTGTTAAAACATCAGATGATTCATGTATACAGCCAATATAGGGAGCATATTCTCCGTGGACATTCTAAACTGGTTAGTAACCATTGAGAAACCATTTATTAAGTGCTTAGACAAACCATCTGGCTGTATCTCTTGAAAACTGGTTTGCATGTAGGAAGTTGGTCAATGCATGCAAGGCCTCTCTGAAAGAAACCAACTTTTGATCGATAGTAGCTATAAGCAGTTAGTAATGAGTTATGAAATAGTTAGGAATTCCTCAACTCATACCTGTATGCATTCCGCTTGCTAAGATCTGTCTCTAAGATCCTAATGTCTTTCTGAGACTTCTGAATTTCCTGCCAAATAGTCTCATCCACACAGGTGTGGTGATAAGATTGGAGAACTGGACTCAAAAATTCACAAGCATAGATTCCAGAGCATTTCCAGGTCCATTTCTTGACATGGCATTTCAAAAATGGACAGTTGACTGGTCGTTTTTGTCCGTAAAGCTGTCTTCTCGCATATTGAATCTGGAAGCAGTTAGTAACCAGTTGTGAAGTGCTTAGGAAATACTTACGTCATGGGCAACCTGCTCCATTTCAAGCTGTGACCGTCCTCTCGAAGCAACAACATATGTGTACCCGTGAATATGACTTGTGGGATACTCTGGTAGGTCATCAATATATTCAATTTTTAGTGTTGTCAGGGAAGAGCTTTTAGCACTAGTAAGTGGAATGGGAATAGCGGGTTCCTGTTTTCAATACTTAGTAATCAATTACAAACTGTTTTGTAAGCAGTTTGATACCTCATAATCAAGCTCCGACTCAAAAAATCCATTCACATCAATTAAATGATTGGAATCCATTGTTGTAAAAGAGTAAAACAAGAGTAAAGTACTTGGCAACTGCTCTAAAACTAAGTTGTGATTTCTCGATTTTTTCACAGCATTGGATAAAAGTAAAGGGAGGAGAAGGAAATTGAATTTCCATGTGCGCGTGTATCGTATTTAGATGGTCATGCGAGTTGTTGCGGCTTATTAATGATCTTGGCAGTCACGTGTAGAGAGGGTGTCTCATGTGAGCTCTTTGTGGAGCTTGCGTGGGCTGCGTACACGCGGGGTGGGGTGAATGCCCAATCTTATCTGCTGATTCATCGCAATGTCAGGTGACCAATTTTGAACCCTTGCCTATCGAGCTCAGTGGGGCATGGCGTCTGTAGAGAGTACTCATAGTAACTGCATGGGGGGTATTAATTCCAGTCCTAAGCAAGGCTTGAATCCAATTTCCGACTGAACCCGGTGGTTGTGGACTTGATTTTGATAAAGAAAAATCCCAGGTTTTGCATAAATGGTTAACTGGGCTGCAATAATTGTTGCCCGAAGCCAATATTCCTCCCTGACTGTGATGCACTTGTGTCGAGGAGACTGATAGCCACATGCCTGCGACTCATCAGTCCATGGAGCGTTCATTCTCTTACAAGAAGTTATGTACGAGAGAGATGAGGGGGAGTCAAAGCATTTGCAGTCATGTGGTTAAATTATGAACCTCTTATTGTGAAGTGGGTCAGTAGCACCTCCATAGATTTAATGAAAATAACAACTTCCAGTTTCTTCTGGTACCACAACAATCTGCAACTGTAGAAATGAGGCAAAGGTCAATCCCAATCAGCTCTCTTGCGAATGTACTGAACATAGACTTGGAACATTTCTTGTGTTTCGTCATCGATTATCTCAAGGAACAGTCAGTACATTTTCAATAAAATACAGTAATGAACTGACCAAATGTAGGCTCATGCTCTTTATGTCGTTGCTGACTGTCCCACGTCTCCATTCTGGTGCATCCTCTACGGAAAATCGTTAGCATTCAACATCGCGCGACAAGAGAAAAAGCATACCCTCAGCTAAGAAATACACAGTATCCAGATAGGGGTAGTACGCCTTTTATAAGCGCCCTCTGGAATCGGAGGAACCCTAGGCGGCGTCCCTAGCTGTGGTCGGCGGCGTGGCATTATCCTTGGAGGGATGGTTTTAGCTGGTCGCACGGTAGGAAAGAGTCGCTCCCTCAAGGCATTCTTTATATGATCTCCTGGGAAGGCTGTAAGCCGCAGGTGACAAGGATTGCCCGAGTCGCATCACATTTTACCCTGCACTGGAAATCCGACTTTCTTTCCTCCCGCCACAATGGCTTGCAAGCAGCAGAAAGCGAGAATTTATGCTTATGCAAAATTCGATATTGCCGCGCTCCTCTTGGTTGCTCGAAATATTCGAATGAAGGCATGCTCGTGCGATGAATTACAGTGTCCAAAGAGCGGCAGTTTGAATTGGGTTATCTTCCTCACCTTCGAGGATAGAGTGGAATGGGTTTTTAGATCACCGCGGAAGGCCTATAGGCTCCAGAAGAACTTCGCAAGCCAGGTTCTTGCAAGCGAAGTAGCAACATTGAATTATCTTTGAAGGGTTGGGAGCATTCATGTTCCGCAAGTGTTTTCTTATAGGTGAGTCCTTTCCCTTCTTAAGATCCAACTTGAGGCTAGGCTTCGATAGTAACACCAACTTTGCTAGTCCCACTGATGAAAATCCCATTGGAATCCCCTACATCCTGATGAGCAAGGCTTCCGGCGTGCCTTTAAGCAAATACGACTGGACCGAGCACCGAATGCACCCTAACATGTGTGGTGACTCAGAGAGGACTTTAATGTTATCTCAGAAGCGGAAGGTCATGGAACAGCTTGGCGGAATACATGCACATATGTCCAACTTGTGGTTTGATCACATCAGTTTGCTCTGTACAGAGAACAGAGATTACAATATAGGAAAGTGTCTATTTCCCTCCCTACTTCTCCAGGGTCGTGATGAATTCAACGACGATGAAATTCCACGCGGTCCATTCACAACTTCAGGTGCTTTTTACGCTGCACTAATATGTGCGTTCTTTACTCACGTGAAAGAGCTTCCTATGGAGCATCATCTGTTCCGTGGTCCAGTACCTATCCTGCAAGAATACGAAAGTTACGAGGACTACAAGATTGCTACTGATCGCTGGAATGACTATGTTGCTGTCGGATCGAAGACTGAGAACATGAGGAACTGTCTTGACTACGCTCTAGTCGGGGTTTCCCTGACCGACTGGGTACCTTTGTTGGCTGGAAACGATAGCCAGTTCAAGTGCGTGGATTTTCCACTGTACCATCCTGATCTGAGTAGTCAGAATATTTTCATGGATGACAACTTCAACATAACTTGTATTATTGATTGGGCATTTGCGTCTTCCATTCCTCCATCAATGCTCCTTGTCTGTCCCGGACTCCCACACCCCCATGATAATATTCAGCCATTCCTGAAAGAGTCTTTCGCAAAAGGGTTTGTCACTGGGCATGGTTTCAATGGCCAAAGTGACCTTGATTTCTCGCACAGTAGTATCTACTGGGCATTTCTTCGCTTAGTGAGCCTTGATTCTCTCCAGGACTACCTACATTTTTCAAAATTAGTACGATCGTTCAGTGACCAAGATGTGTTCCATCACATCTATACACTGAACACTTGAGAAGAGTTCAAGAAGATCTCGTCATTCCTGGGAGAGGATGAAACAGGGCCTGGAGAGTTTACAGAGGACGAAAGCCAGTATTTCTCATGCGTGGGCCCAGAGCGGCAGGCATTGTCTAGATATCTCACGATGGTCACTGAAATGAATCCAACCTTTGTTGCAGATATGAGGCTCTGGAAGTGCATTACGGCATATTTAAACGAGCGGGAATCTTTTATGTACCTTAGGGATCAGGAGCGGACACCAAGCAGGAAACGCAAGCTGGACTACTGTGTTTGATTATCATCCACCTGATATTGTTTTCAAAAGCGGAACTTGAATGCTCGTGAATCGGAGAGCCTCGTTGAGGAGGCGTAGCTCTGTGATGTGCATACTTTTATGATTAATGCCATCGAGGACGCTGCGGAAAAGGCGAGCATACACATGAATTTACAGGCTATAGCTGTTAAGACTACGTTCGCTAGCTTCTGGATAACTCGGAGGAGAAAGGTATCATCAACCGTAACGACGCAGGTTATGAAAAGAACAGGAAGACTGTCAAGGGCAAACTGGAAGGACTGATTAGTGGCAGGTTCTGCAAACTCAAAACTGTGACAAAAGTCAGTCACGATTTCGCAAACACTGCTTCATATGATTTTCATTTTATAGTTCCTTTCTCAGGGGTTTACCAAAATACTGTTCGCTACCTTAGCCTCAGCAGGCAGTGTGAGAATGGGCACATTACGAAGTGATTGCCTTCACTGATATGCGCTGTATGCTAATTCAAACGGATAACCGCGCGGGACAATATGCGGTTGACATTAACAGGGTGGGGAGAATGGGACCATCCTCCAGTCAACATAGATCTAATTCAAGACATAGAAGTTAAGGGAAGTCAACGGAGGGTCTCCGCATAATAGGGTGATGAATAAGCAAGTCATCTGCTGAGACCGTCATCGACTAGTAGCTGCCCGTTGATAGTAAGATTGTTGTTTCAGCAGTGAACTGGAACATGTGGACGAACAATATAATTAGGTTTCTTCCACGCCTATTACCTTTGGGTCCTCCGCGGCCTCTCGAAAGACTCTTTTAATTTCAGCATAAAGCCCTCTATCACCCTTTTTCCTCCGCGCACCTCTGGGGAAGACAACTCGGAGCAAAGCTTTCACCCAAGGAATCAAAGGCTCATAAAACAGCGTGAAATACTTGTTTGCTGTTCCTTCAAAATCTGATTCGTCGGCAACTATTCCTCGTTTTGAATTGGCCAGTTTCTGGTCATCCTCATAATTCCAGCAGTCAAAGTCCGTTGGCCCAATGCTTTTGCCAGGGCCATCATAATGGACGCATATCCAAAACAAGACCCAGAAGAAAGACTCCAGATCATGCCAGAAGGAATGTTTCTCGCCTAGAAGGAGCCCAATAGCCATGAAAGCCCGCGTGCCTGTTTTGCCTCTTGCTCCCGAAGCATGCTCTCGCTCCTCCCTAATGGCAAGGTCCAGGTCAATCAGAAAGGCTGGCCACGAGCTGTCATTTTCTCCTTTGTTTATCATAAGGTTGCCAGTGGATATATCACCTTGAAGAATACCCGCGTTTGTATGCAATGATTCGTAACCTAGGACGATAAGCATTGATAGCATAATAATGTACGCAGTAAGTCTGACCTATTAAACAGTGTTTAAGGGCATTGAGCAGGGCGACGTGAGAGCTTGCTCTGTATATTGGTTTTCCATAATTGCTGATAAAAACACAACGGTGTATACGATTCTCCGAGGCAGCGTCACCAGTCATGGACGAAGAGTATGAAGAAGGCCTTTTGTTGGCGGGTAGAGGATTATTAGCGCGGCTGGATGATCTCTTTCGACTAGCACCACTGATTTGGGAACAGCTTGAATGTGTTATGTCTCTTTGTTCTCTTGCTTGGTGTGCATCTTTGAAGTTTGAAGCCTTTGTGACATCCAGACCCTTCCTGACGTTATCCCAGACATCATCGACTTTCCCATCCACTTCGACCATTTGATGACAAAAGTACCTTGCCACATTCGCAACGCCTTTGTTAGTAATCTCGCGCAGTAACTCGCCTTCTTCCTATCACTCTGGATACTGCCATGAATCCTTGACAATGATGAGGACGTCAGGGTTTATTTCAAGATGGGCCCTCCAGTAAACAGTCGCTCTACTAGCAACACATGATGATGGTTTCATGAGACTGTCAAGTATCAAGCGCTCCATCTTCCCGCTATGTGATATTTCCATATATTGATTCCCATCAGTAGACATCCTTATGGTTAGATTGAGACCCAGCTGCTTGTCATTCATCCACAGGAATCCTAACATTGCTGAAACAAACTGTGTCCTGTTCATGTTTATGTTAAATAAGGAGGAGGCAATGGCCCCTAAGCGGTCAAACTCCCACAAGCGCATAATGGAACCGCAAAGAGTAAAGCCCAATATGAATTAATGTGTAGGCTGTGCAGCAAACACCTCTCTCGCGTATCTACTGAGGTCGCGCCAAGTATTGGATGAAGTGTCAAGATCTGGGCTGCTTTTTAATTCACCAGGAATAAGGACATGCGACTAATGAAAACTCCATTTGTCTGCGGTGTGTCGGCTCCTGACAATAGCAACATCCACTTTACGTTTCGCGGCAGATCCCTTCAGCGGCTTGGAAGGCCGAGCCAGTATCTCTTACTGTTCTGTAGGAATCCCTTCAGTGGCAAACTCCTGGAGCAAATTCGATATTCATGTGAGCCAAACCAGGACATCCTTTTCTTGAGCATCCTTTGGCCAATCACGCCAGCCTGTTCCATCATTACATAGAGGGTAATCACCTTCCTTGCACTTTCCAAATATAAGGTGTACTTCTTCATCCAGACCAGTGATATCCCCGAAGAATGTGTCATAAAACTGAGGCATGCTAATAAAGATTGAACCAAGCTCCTCTTTCAGCACAGCATTGAAATACTTTTGGTGCCCAGAGGAGTTGACAACGCTGCTTGTATTGTGCAAAAATAGAGTCTAATTCAGGAAGGATAGAGACTGTGGAGGAGGGGTCGGTTCAGTAACAGCTTTGTAGACTTTATTCCAAATAACCACGTCAGGTTCTTCCTTCAGTATTGCACCCAGCAACGGTATCAACTGTTCAACATCGAATTCATTGGAGTTCACACTTGTACTAAGTCTTGAGAGGTCGCCAAAGAGGTTTTTACTTCCACTCTTCACAGGTTGTAGCACACAAGAGGCGGGGAGGGTTTGCAAGGCTAGTATCAAGTTGAGTAATAAGTTTTGGAGGGCTAATCCACTGTTAGAGGCACTCATCCAACCAAGACAAGGGATATACCTTCGGTCTCCAACTTCTGAAGCGAATCGACAGAGCACGGAAGACCTTCGTTAACGCATACAGAAACCAGTTGGCCCCGTATACTATTCAAACCTGTGCCAATGGGCTTGTTTTTAATGACCGCACTGGAGGGCAAGGCCATATTTAACTAAAGTAGAGATGCAAAATGGCTCTAAGGCCATGGCCTAGTCAATTGGAGGCGTGATGATAATGATACAAGAGGTTACCTCTGGAAATCAATGGATTGTGGATAAATCATATGGAAAGACCAACTCTTAAGGAGTCCTTTATTGTTATTTCCAAATATGCACCTTAGGACCAAGGTTCTTTCCAGGCTTCACGTGTTTGTGACCATATCTGTCTTAGTCATCAATAGCATCAGGCTACTAACCCACTTACTAACTAGTTCTACAAGGGCTCGATCACCCTTTAAAGGCACAAGGAGGATCCTTAATCAGTGTATAGACTAGACGCATTATATATCTATTTAAGTCTGTAGATACTCGCAAATCAAGGTGCTCAAGAAAGAATGAAAAACACTTTTGAGGCTAATTAATGTACTGTATACTTAGTTGTGGCAAGGCATCTATAACTGCAGTGCGACGACCCGATGATAAGCCGCTACCACTCCCAATGTTGTCCAGGAAAATAGTAGATCCAGTACCGGGTGTGACCGTTTGAATTTTTCTATCACGTGACTAGGCACATGATTGTGAATTCACACCTGGGACTTACCTAGGTGTTTCGGTCGCAGAACTCTTGGTTGTCACGTTGCGCTTACTCCTCGATCAGTACATGTGGCCTTTGAAAATTCCAGGCCATAGTGGCATACAGACATGCAACAATTTTTGACCTTTTTTTACCACTAGACATAGCCGCAAGCTTTACTATGTACTATGTAATCATAAGTTGCAGCACAACTGTGGCTAAGCCACCTGGCCAGCAATACGGAAAAATAGAAACCCCAAACTGTGTTACAAATTGATTGCTGCCTAGAGTAATCAGCGTGGCTGTATTCAGCCAAGAAACGAAACATCACCAATGAGAGGAACTATAATATGGTTATTATGGGTCCAAGACATTATTATTAGGTGAGACTGGGTGAACGTGGGTGATTGCGGGTGACCACTCACCCTGTTTATACTGCACTCACCTAAGGTCACAGGGTCGCGCGACTAAAAGCAGCGTCGCGCGACCGCGGCAGCCACCGACCTTTTGACCGCGTTGAAGGCACATGTAGAACGTGGTCAATTCCCAGAAAGCCCTTTTGCCTCTAAAGCAGCGGCGTGATGCTTTTAGTATGAGTGCTGGTGATGTGGGTGAGGACTCTAGGGGCACCCATCACCCCAGGTGATGATGGCTCATCAGTGGTGATGAGGGCTCCAGGGAGGTGACGAAGGCCAACTCAGCAGCCGACCACAGAAGAAAACAGTGATTCAGCTGCTGTTAATGGGCTCTGTGCCCTGAAGGTCGAAAATATGAACTTGATTGTCACAGAATCCATACAAGATTAATCTTCACCCCTCCCCTGTGAAGGCTGTGATCGCACGTGACATCATATGACCATGGCTTCTGAAGATGCTAAGTTGCAAAAACTGTTAGAGGAGTACCAGAGACTTGCAGAGTCATGTGGCTTTACTCTCAAATATCAAAGTAAGCAAGAAAAGAAAGAAAATATTATAAGTTTCCTGAAACTAGCACCGGCAACTTGTGAAAAGTATGAACGAGCAGTAGGTAGCTACTCCACTGGGCTTTGTAAGTATCTACTCCTGTTAAGTCTATGGAGGTAACTCTTAACCGTTCTTCAGATGGAGACTTTCTCGCAAGGAGAGTGGAACAAAAAACTTATCTAAGGATGAACTAGATCCCTCTCCACAAATTCTAAAGCTCTTCGTGGAGTTTTACATTGTGATACGAAACTATAGGATCACATAATCCGCTAGTGGCTTGGCCGCTAGCCGCGTCAACCCCTGATGAATCGACCCCTCAGCATGTATCTAAGAGAAGTATCAAGCACCTATCGAAGAGAGAAATAGGGAGAATCGTCAGAAAGGCATCTGCCCTTAGTAGGCTACGTACGCGTAGTCGATACAGTTTCATTCTGCCCTCCTTCCCTTGAGTATACATGCATATCCTACAACACTAATAAGTCCACATTACTAGCACCTATACTGAAGGCATTATGCTGCTACTTTAGAGGTAAAAGGGCTCTTAGAATTAACCATATTCTACATATGGCTTAAGTACGAGACTGTACGGCTGAGCGGACAGGAAGCCCTCTTCCACACTCTATGGTCGTATGTGCTAGAAGTAAGTGAAGAACAATCTATATAATACTCCAAGCCTGGGAGATAGACAGGATTTAGGCCACGCTGTTATGGTTTTGTTGATCCTGCAGTTCCTGCTGATAAGCTCCCTCATTTGCTCTAAACCCCTGCATCCTTGGCTGACGTGTCTAGCTAATTATTACTCTAATTAGATTCACAGTCTCACCAATAGCCTGAAGCTGAAGAGAGGGATTATTCAGCACAAGTCTTGACTGCAGCCTAGTGGCCAGCCTGGCGACCAGCCTCTTCTGATAAATGTGCATGTCCTATTCCTGCAGATTTTCTTTGCCCACTATACTGCTCAAAGACATGTTACAAACTCTCCTTGACTCTACCTTCAGATTCTGCCAGGAGAAAGGATTTGCAAGGCCCACAGCCGCAGACTGTGATGATGGCCGCACCGCGAACTCACGATGATTACAACATTGGATGGATTTGCGCCTTACCGCTGGAGATGGCCGCCGCCAAACTCGTGCTTGACAACATCCACCCTACACTGTCCCAACCGCCACAAGACCATAACACATACGTACTGGGGGACATAAATGGTCATAACGTGGTTGTTGCTTGCCTTCCATCGGGGGTCTATGGTACGACCGCTGCGGCTGTTGTTGGGTCCCAAATGCTGTCTACATACCACAAAATCCGCTTCGGGCTTCTCGTCGGCATTGGAGGCGGTGTTCCCTCGGCCTCGGTGGATATTCGACTGGGAGATGTTGTCGTGTCAAGTCCTACTGGTGTGCTACCTGGGGTGGTACAATATGACTTTGGTAAAACGATGGAATCGGGTAGGATAGAGCGCATCGGGTCGCTTAACTTGCCTCATCCAGCACTATTGACAGCCCTCTCAGCCGTCCGGTCGAATCATATGATGACCTCCCCAAAATTCTGGATATATGTATCGGAAATACTGAGATCGCGCGAGCAGCACGACGACGAGGAACCCTCTATATTCCCATATCCGGGACAGGAGCACGACGTGCTCTTTCGTGCGAATTATCGTCACCTGGATTCCGAACCTGATTGCTGGTCCTGCGACTGGACTCAGGCCGTAGGGCGTCGACAGCGATTATCAAAGTCTCCGAAGGTTCATTATGGCTTGATTGCGTCTGGCAACCAGGTCATGAAAGACGGTCACACTCGCGACAGTCTAGCACGGGAGCTAGGAATCATCTGCTTCGAAATGGAAGCAGCCGGCCTGATGAATCACTTTCCATGTCTGGTCATAAGAGGAATTTGCGATTATGCGGACTCGCACAAGAACAAGAATTGGCAGGGCTATGCTGCACTGACCGCGGCAGCATATGCCAGGGAGCTACTTTCAGCGATATCATCAATCCATCCGGAACCTGGCACGCGCATGGACTCACGGGTGCAGGTGCCTGGTCAGTGTATGTGAAGTCCTGATTGCCGCTGACCTTTACTTATATCCTACAGAGAGCTTTGCCGTCCGATTCGGCTCCATGGACAGACCGCACATGCACTTTTTTGTGGGCCGAGAGCAAGAGTTGGCTGAGATCAACGCGAACATTCAGTCACATGCTTGCAGGAAGACTGTTGTCTTACATGGCCTCGGGGGTATTGGAAAGACGCAGCTAGCGTTGGCACACACAATACATTGCCTTCAATCCTACACGGCAGTGTTTTGGTTCGATGCCACGAACGAAACGACAATGGGAATGGGCGTCTTGAGAATGGTCAGGCGTGTTTTACTAGACCATCCATCCTTGACGCAATTGTGTGCAATGCTTGAAAAGGTCGATATCGCTTCTGCAATAAAATGGGCCAACCGGTGGTTGAGCAGCCCCGGCAACGATCGCTGGTTGCTGATATATGACAATTACCAGCCCACTTCAGAGTTTTCCATCCGCCCTTGGCTTCCGGATGTGCAACAGGGCCATTTATTGATCACAACCCGATCGGCTGATCCAACTCTTGGCCACTGTATCCGTGTTTCAAAGCTTGGAATGGACCATAGCATCCGACTCTTGTGCGAACAGTCGGGCCGACACGACCTGATTGATGGTGAGGTTCTGTAACCCTCCTCCACTTTTCCTATGGTCACACAGACTGATTCCGGTGTAGATCCTGACATGCATGACTTGGTTCAAGAGCTAGATGGGCTACCACTTGCATTGGCAATTGCGGGGGCCTTTTTGCACCAGACGTCAATCAACTGTCATGACTACCTAAAGAGGTACAAGAAGTCTTGGTTGCGTACACCGGAGAGAACCCCCTCGCCGCATTCGGATGGGGAGAGAAAGCTTGAATCCACCTGGTTAATGTCCCTCTTGAGAATAGACGAACAGAACGCAACGGCTTCGCTGCTCTTGTCTCTGTGGGCTGCCCTGGATAGCCAGGAGCTTTGGTTGGAACTTTTTCAACGCGGGTGTCCCTTTTTTGAACGTTTCAAACGGCCAATTGAAATGGACGAGAGATCATTCCACGAAGCGATGAGAGTTCTATGCATGTATGGGTTTGCTGAAATTGGGCCGGTCCCACGGGACGAACACAATGAGTCCAGGGGCTATACCTTGAATCGGTGCGTGCATGCTTGGTTGGTAAGTCGAGTGGTACCTGGCCGTGATCCGAATTTCAGCGCTATTGCCTTATATTGTGTCACAAAACATGCATCAGAGTTCTGGCACAATGAGAATACGTATGTATCACGCGTCTGGAGTTTTGAGGCAAGAAATATCTGCTACCGACTGCTTCCTCATGCCAACCACCTACTACATCTCTCGCTTTCTGGATTGGTGGTCATGGAGGACCAATATTCCCACGCCTATTCGATATACCGACTTGCGGATATTTTTCAGAAGACGAGCTTTTGGCTTTCATCGCCAATGTTCACCACGATTCTGAACGCTTTTCAAATCGAGCACCCGAGAACATCAAACATGGTCAATCAACGAAAGTCGCTTCAACAGGTAATAGCCCTATGCGCAGGGGTGTCGGAGGAAAGGTTCAAAGATCTGCACCGCAATGCCTTGGGCCGCCTCCCTCCCAGCAATATTATTAGCGATATTTCGAATTATATCACGGCAGGCCTGCTGGAGCTCAGGGTCTGCCGGGCTACTTCACACCCGCACAAGTACATCTGTTCCCGCTGCCTTAGAACCGTGTGCGTGGATGTGTGCCCATGGCTTCTCATCCTGGGCATAGGTTTGGTTAGGATTATTGGGTTGATCTGGGTGACACTTACAATAGACACCTTGGAGAAGGCAACTATGCAAATCACCGAACATTGCATATCCACGTTGACATTTGCATTCATTCCTCGTTGGAAACACAGGTATAGGGCGTTGGCGCTAGGGGTAGTACTCATGATTCTAGAACAGGTATATGTGTCGTTTGTTTTGCACCGCGGGATTCGGTACGATCGCCCTGTACTTCTGGGTTTCATGCTTTCAACGCTGTTTATAGATCGCGCATTTTTATTCTCATTATGGTCAAGACGTTTGAGTCCTTGAAATGGGCACCTGGACCTGGTTTTGAACCAAATAGTGACCAAAGCTGGAGTTACCTGGTATCAATTGTGTTCAATAAACGACCGTTTACCCCTAGACCTTTGCATTCCGAAGTTTAACCCACAGTTTGGTTGATTTGATTTGATTCGATTTGATTTGATTACTATTTAACGTCACTCAGCGGATCACGTGGCACGCGTGACCTGCGGCCTCCCAAGGGGCATCCGGACGTGCTACCTAAGCAAAGACTTTTAATAAAATGAGTACATGCTTGAAGCAACAAAGCTAGACACTATATATTAGAGAAGAGCGGAAGAAGCACTAGGCGCTACCCTAGCCTGGACTTCTAGAGGTGAGGAGCCTGCTTTGGCTACCTTCAGTTGAGCGGAGGTGCCTTCCCTGTTTAACCAGGTAGAGGTGTAGACTGTTATACTATTTAGTGCTTAGGCAGGCCTAGTTTAGGCATATATCCTTGAAGAAGGATGAATCTTGCATAATGTAGCTAAACTCTTCAGCCCTAGCAGCTGTACCTAGTAGCTAGTTAATTATTCTTAACAGGCTGCCTCTCTTGCATTTCTATCTATATTCTAGGCTACTATACTACCTCCCCCCCTTTCCTTCTTAGGGGTGGCAGCTCTCCCAGGCATTAAGTACTACTATATTAGTAAGATTAATAGCAGGCTCCTACATAGGGTATTTATAATCTACCTATTTAACTAGGTATTCTATATAGTGGCCTTACCTAATTCACTTCTTATATTCCTCTAAGATCTCTTTAACTATGCATTTAGCTTTACTATCTATAAGCTTTAGGGGTAGCTAGTAATTATTATTTAACTAGCTTAGAAAAAAGGGTTATTTACAGTAGGCTATAGAATGCTAATATAAAATATATTATATGTACCTAGTGATATATCTAGTTAGTAAGTATATAATGCCTCCGCATACGTAATGCCTCTATATGAGCATATTGGGACTATCTGAATGCTTGTTGATGGGCAACTACATTGTGAATTTGATCTAGGAGCTTGGCTGGCTCGCCTGCGCTTTAACGATCCAGGTGATACGATGGGTCATTTACCCAGAAATGACAGAGAGTCTGCAGTTCGGAAATGGAAAGGGGTGACATTGCTAAGGAGGGAGGCACAAGGTTTCCCCGTGATGAAACTGCCATCGGATGATGAATTAGGACGAAGAGAGATTGAAGAACCTATGGTTTGAAATGGGGCGAGCTCTACTATGTTCCAGCATCAGCCGTCAAACACGTTAAAGATCAAACTTAATCAAAAGTCGGACATTGTGGACCTGTTATGATGATATATAGTACTCGTGGAAAGACTAGTACTGGGATACTATTGCAGTGGACATGACATATTCTCTTGGGAGGTAGTGATACTGACAAGAATAAGAGCTGCAGGTCTAGCCGCAAATTTGATCCAACCCCTCCTTGACGCCTAAGACCGAGCAGCTAAAGGAGCAAAAAAAAACCACATATAAGCGCCTCGATGAAGTGTCACACATCCTGCCTCACTCTCAATTTTATCCCTCTATTCTATAATCCGTGTATCGATAATTAGTTGAATACATGAGATATACTTATCTGCTGTATCAACCAACTAAACTATCCCAATAAAATGGAAATTCCGAACCAGGTTCTACAGTATGAGACTACCTTCTCTTCACAATGTTCCTAAAACGCGGGGTTGGGTTCAGCACTTTCAGACTTAGCTCAAGAGAAGTCTCCAAGATGGAATCAGTGGAATCAGGCCATTAGTGTCTTCTTCTCTCCCAAAGCTGTGAAGCAGGACCAAACTACGCCCAAGGGCAACTCGCAATCCGAAGGGAAGGATCAGGGCGACAACGCGACAGTAGTCGAGGTTGCTAATAGCTAAGAAAACACGTGGAAATAGTTGCTCAAGTTGCAGTCAATGAAGTCAATACTCATGAATAGCACTGTTGAAGTTATTTTGGAAGACAATATATATACAGTCTGCTGAAAAGGATATCTGGTAGACATATGGACTCATCCAAACATGCAATCGATTCGATTTGGCCGCTTGGCGATAACAAAACGTATCCACAGAACAATCAAGCACATTCCACCTTGACCTCGCATTATCATGAACCGTGAGCTGCCCTAGGATAGGGCGAACGTCGGCCGCGGTCTACCAGTGGTTGTCACATGAATAGACATAGTTGATAGTAATCAGACAGCCGTCTTCCCTGTGGAACGAGCCACACCTTTTACAGCCGCCAATGTTGCGGATGTTCTGGTAGTCATTCCACATGTCGTTACCACTGATACTGCAGTGGGCATCGCCCTGGATGAACACACCGCAGCTGCGAGTCTGATCGCCCCAGCAGTTGCCGGACTCGTTCCTAGAGGCATAGATCAGCATTGTCATTGAGTGTACAAGGGATAATAAGATCTTTGCATGCCAATGGAGCAATGACTGGTGACAAACGAGCAGGGTCACTCACGCAGACGTAGCAAAGTAAAAGGGGTCGTCGTATCGCTGCAGGGTATTGACGGCCTGGTCACACCACTTCACAAAATCGGGGGTCGTGCACATTGTCGAGCCCTCGCAGTCATAAGCAGTGGGGTCTGGCTCAAAAGCGTTGGTTAAGGGATTATAACCTTGCGCCTGAACGACGAATTTGCTCGTGTCGAAAGTGGAAGTCCCCAGGGGTAACGTCCACTTGTAAGTGTAGCCGGTGATATCCAGGGTGATGGTGCTGACTACCTCGCACGACCATGGAGGCGCCGTGGAGCCTTCAGGAAGTACACCGCTATACTTGTAGAGTGTAGTGCCTTCGACCATGTAGTGGGTGCAGACATAACTGTCAACTTTAAAGTTGACACTCCAGCCTGGATCAGTATCGAACTCACAGCCCACTGAGTCCCAGAGATAGAGGCGGACAAATGAATAAGGTACCAGAATGTCCGCCTGGATAGTGGTCGAAGTGGTTGAAGGAGAGGAGTCGTAGTTAATAACAGTCTTCCCACCAGGTAAAGATCCCGGTATTCACAGTAACTGTATTCGAAGCTGACCCTAGACTGCCGCCTCCACCTACTGCACTTACATGAAACATGTAGCTAGTTCCGGATGCAAGACCGCCAATCGTGATCATCGTCATTGAGCTTAGAACACTTGCAACAACACTATCACCTGAATACACATGGTAACCAAGAGCATTCGAGGCCGCGTTCCAGGATAATTTAGCAGAACTATAGTCTGAAGTCACAACGAATAATCCAGACACCGCTCCTGCGGCGCCTCCAGAGGTCCAGGATGCTGCATCTGTATTCAATGGTGAGCCACCACTGATTGCGTCCATCATGCTTTGGACGTATGAATCCGCGGGCAGAGTGTCGTATGGATTGGGCAAGCTGTCGTCTGTAAGTTGAAGGAAGCCCACCCCGCGCTCCTTCGCTAAATTAGCTACCTCACTAACCGCGGATTCGGGCACATTGTAGACAATATGCCAGAGTTTCCGCGGGTCATTCGGGGTCCAACCGTTAGGTGTGTAGAAGTTAATGTAGGAATCGCAGTTGAGCTCAAAGGTCAGTAGGCTATCCATGGTATCCTCGAAGCAAGATGCTATAGGCAACCCGGGGTTCAGGACCGTAAATGCACCGGGGTGAGCACGTTTTGTATAGGCGTCGATATACTTATACAGATCCGCATAATCATTGTTGTCACCACATTCGGGCCAGCCCTCGTCAAAAATGATACCAACGATATTATCGCCGTAAAGCTTGACCACATATCAACATCTTCCTCGATCTGCGCAGTCCAATCTGCCAAATCACCCGAGCCCAGCCGTGTTTGGAATTCTGGTCACTCACGCCCAGGTATCCAGTTCGTACATAGCCGAGCACTGTTTTACCCGCAGCTGAAGCACGCTGGATCACACTCTGCCAGTTCAAGTCAAGAGCCGAATCTGGGCCGTTCACGACGTTGGCAACTAAGATGGGCATCTTCTTCACATCATACGCAATCAGCCAATTCCACGCAGCCGGGTCACCAAGCGGGTTGATGTACGATGCGACAGCGATCTGTTGCCCTTGACCAGGCGCAGTCGACGAATTCCCGGTTGGGTCCGCGCCGACAGCAGTCATGGTGGCTGTGAGTGTGGTGGTAAGCGCGTCCTGCGCGTCGCAAGACGTGACGGTCAAGCAGGCAGTTGAGCAGGCGAATTGAGGGGCAAATGTCTGGACCTCGCACTCAACGCCGCATTGGGTCGCTGTCTGCGCTTGACACACCGTGGCGGTAGGACCCCCCTGGAGCGATGCGGCGGGGATCACATTGTTGGTCGTAATGGCCCCGTTGGTGAAGTAAAGCCACGACAAGGCAAAGGCCCCGACAGCCAGCCCGTGGAGATGAGATGCGCTGATCGCCGGATTCAGCCGGTCAGCCTGAGTGAGTGCCCACTGCACGACAGTTTTGACACCTGCCACATTGGTCCATGGAAACCCTCCCTGATTCATGAGCAGCCAGTCGGGATATCCATCCCGGCCGATGCCGTCGGCTAGGATGTTTTCGGCGCCGCAGATGACGCTGGCCATGTCCAGCGAAGGAGCCCGGAGGGAGGATGAAGGAAAGAAATCGGCGCCTACATCGCAGTTGCTGTTGTCCGAGCCGGACAGCAGCGCCTGGAGATGCGCTGCCACCGTCGAGTCCAACTCGATGCCCACATCTCCCGCACTCGCGCCGTTCCCGGCACTCGCAAAGGTGGTAGTCGTGGCTGGCAGTCCAGTCGCCCTGTCCTGCTCTGGAGGTTGCGTGATGGTCTGCGCTGGCTGGCCGTCGTCCATGATGAAGACGATGGCGGTAGCGGTCTCCATGTTGAATGAGTCCTCCAGCTGCTCCGGGGGAATCTTGATGGGCACCGGGATTACCTTGTCTGACTGGTAGACTTTTGCGATTATGAAGCCGATAACTGCGATCGCGCCAGCCCCTAGATAAGCCAAAACGCGCGGCTCTAGTGCGGGGGAGTTCAGACTGCGGGATTGGAGAGTCCAGCCAGGGCCCTCAAGGACGTCCAGGACCTCTTGGTAGCACTTTGAGTCAATTTCCGCCGGCGCAGTCGCTATCCATGGTGGATTTCAGGCTGGTCTGCATATCCAGAGACAGGAATGCTAAGATTCTATTCTCAGCCGGGTCACCCACCGCAGTAATTTCAATCACGGACCCGGTGAGGACGGGTGTGGGGACCTAGAGAGCGTCAGATGCTTGTGGAGAGAAAGTAGTGGGAAGCCGTAAAGACATACTCCATCCGTGGTGTACTGGCTCAGGTCACCCACGGGAAAATACTCATCATCCGCATGAGCAAGTATAGAGAAGAGGAAACCGAGAGACAATAACAGGAGCATCGGGGGCGCCATTGTGTCCCGAGGAAAGGAAAATGGGTGTAGTCCCGAAACTCGAGCGAGATGCTGTAGAGTGTGTATTGACTACTCTATATATCCTTTGATCCTCAATTGTACAGAAATGGGGCTCAGAGGCGAGGCTCCGCACATTCCTTAGCTCCGGCGAACTGCTAATCTCAGACAAGTGTACTGTACTTTGGCAGTTGACAGAGGGCCGAGGATACAGTCTGAATTGTGGAAATAAAAGTCAGGCCAGTGGGGGTCACCAGGCTCGCAATAGTACACACACATCAGAGTCTGATGCGCGTCCCAGAGATTCCCAGGACGCAGGCGGACTCGTGCCCACAGCATCCATGGGATCATGCGCCTGCAGTATAGAAGACCAGTTGGACTCGTCGTCTGGGGATCCCGGCAGCGTCGCGACGTGATCAATGGGGACTGCGTGGTCGGCCAGCCGTTTGTCGACGGCAGAGATGTAAGGTCATCATGGCTCGGTGACCATGCCGTGCTATGGGGCCCAAAAGGTTGCTGATCCACTGCACTGGATTCAGGCTGTTCCTCCCCATTACCCGTTACCAATGGCACCAGTGGCGCCCTCTCTGGCTCCGCGGGGTCATCGCGCTGAGAATTACGTTGCAGCGATTTCACTTGCTGCCCGGGTTCACTCCGTCTCCATGCCTGACCCGGTGCGCCATCGACGGTGGTAGAAGAGGATGAGGCGGAGGAAGAACCGTTGACAGGCTGCCGGCCGGCGGGCTTGGAGATGCTATAATGGCACGAGGTCCCTGCGTTCTCGCAGCGCCTACATTTGGCCGAATCGCTGAGAGAGACTCGTACACACCGCAGTTTCTGGGCGCGACATCTGTCACAGGCAGCACGGCGGGCCAGTCGCATATGAGCGGGATCCAGCTGGGACGCCTCCATTGATGTCCTTGCTCGAGATGGAGAATGATTGTGCTCGTGTCGGTCTCGTCCATGCCGTGCGGGAACATTAATACGTCGGTGTCCTACTAGTTCAGCTTACTTAATCCGTGTAGCTATAACTAATGGCTCGAGTTATTGCATCCAGACTGACTTCTCCGAGAGTGGCGTGTTCTTTCTTCCGGCGCGAGAGGCGGCATCCCCTCGTGGTGGCTTTCTGGCGTCCAATGCGAGTCATATTCTGCCCCAGATGCTGCTTATCGACGCAGATAGCCAACGGCCCGTGCACGCAGGATACTACCCAGATCCTGCTCTTTGCCGCAGTCAGCCTAGATATGGGCCCATGAGGTCGTGTTCAACGAATCATGCGAGACACAGGCCGGGTAGGCTGATCAGGCTCACTCAAGGTGATGTATGCTCCAGCCATCACCACCTCACTATATTGCACCTACGCTAATCACCACCTCTTTCAAGCGGCATCACCCCCGTCACCCACAAGGGCATCCACCCGGGTATTGACCGCGTTCAAGCCACACGCCGGCCGGCTAGTAGTTGGGTGGGTGACCACCAGCGAATCCCGGCTGTTGTATGTTTTTGTTTTTCTGCCCATTTTGATCTTTGCTTCTCTTTGCGGTCCCTCGCCTTTTGTGTCGATCATCATTATCCATGTCAGTGGCCAGGGTTGTCAAGGCCGCTGCGTTTTTCAAGCAGAGCGCTTGACACATACTTGGCCTGGCTGTTTCCCAGGGCAGCTACGCGTTGGTGAAACGGCTCCTTGATGCAGGCGCCAACATACACGCTTACGGCAAGCCATTGGAACAAAACCGAAAAAACCGTCTGTAGGTGTTTTATGTAGACCGGTCAGAGTTCCGCCTAACTAAAATTACCTTTCCATACCATTTGGCATTTTTACTATGTAGGGATTCAAATCGTTATAAGTAGGGATTCGAATCATTCAATATCCCTACTATATGACATGAGACACGTTTGGTGTGAGTTACTAATCGCCTTTTCATGTCTCCTTCATACCTAGCATTTCCTATGGAGAGTCGATTTTCGTATCAGTTTAGCAGTCAAGTCGGAATAGTCAATCCTACTGCTCCCTAGCAACTAGCAAGTCTCTCCCTAATCATGATACAACGCCCCCTCAGCCGTTTGGCCTTTGACAGTTCCCTTGCAAGACATCTCGCCCTTGGAGCCAACCTTGCCAGATCCACCAAATTGTCTCACTGAGTCGCTGATGATGTCCACAATATCCTGGGCGCCGATGTGGAAGTCAACATTCCCATTCTTACCCTTGCCCTGCACGCCGAAAGCGCACGTCCCATACTGCACAAGCTGGTGTTGGGACCCAATTGCATTCTCGACCTCCCAGTTGCAATACTCTTCACAATCTGCATGCAGTCCGACACAGTTGGGGATGCGTCACTGGTCTGGTCAACGAATGTGGAGCTGCCGCAATCGTCAGGCGCTAGATAAATAACACACGGGTAGTTCAGGGCACTGGTGTCTGGAGTGTTTGCCATGGTCCCATGCACGGTAGGCGGTTTCTGCGCTACATACCGGCAAGCGGATCATCCCTGGCGTGGTTAACAGCTTGGTCAGTACAATGAAGCTCGGTCCAGTTCCCCGTCCTATCTCCGACTTGCCAAGGGTCCTCATTATTTTAGTGGCCGTTTTCCAAGTGGCCCAGTTTTCCACAAGGATCCCACCACGCGTGGGAGGATCATTGTATTGCTGGAGATCTGTGGCCCAGTCAGCAGTGCCGCCCATGTTGAGTCCCTTGTACAGGGATTTGCGCGATGCTTTGGTTGCAGGGCTCATGTAGGCAACCCATTGGCTTTTGTACTTTCCTGCCTACAATGGAACGTCGACAGCCTATACCCACTCCGCTTTTTTATTCGGACGACAAACTTAGTGTTGGACTTCCGACTATCCGTCCATGGTTCGAATTGAGGATCGGAGATAGTACCAGGTTTGAGAAATAAAGTACTAACAGTGCCAAGCCTGTTGGCAATATGAGTCTACTCTAGACAGGATTAGGTTGTGTCAACCAAAAAGTCCGCTAGACTACAGGAAGTATGAACACCGGTGCTATTACAGTCCGTTTCGGTACTTTTCTACATATTTGCGTTGATCAAAACGATCAGGACGCCACCAGAAATGCCAAGGCCTCTCAAGAGGTTAAAATCAACCTCCTACTCATCTTGTCTGAAGGCCCTCTATCCTTGAATCATAACTCTCAGAGTTGAGGCTTGACTGCATGCACGATGTAACTGTTCCTGCATTCTGGCAAGTTCGCTAAAGTCAAAGGAGGGTATGAAGTGACATTTAGTATCATTAAGCCACATGCAGGGGCCCAGACACCACGAACATCTTAAGGAACCATCCTCGCCGCTTCCTCTAAATTCCGGCCCCGTCAACTTGTTCCTCTTGCATAACCCCATCACCACTACAACTAAGATGGGCTTGATTACTCGGGGCTGGCTTATTTTGGCTCTCTGTCTAGGCTTTGCTTACAGTCAGGCCCCTATTACGCCAGGGGTCACGGAAGTAGACTTGATCTTTCCGCGCAATGAGAGCTATTCCCCCTCGCCAGTCACTCCGATCATTTTCGCCATCCAAAACCCGAGCCTCCTGTCAAGCCTCAACCCAGAGATTACTTATTATATTGAGCAGCAAAATGTCAACACCAATGTAAGCGTCTCTAGCTCTGGCTCTATCCGACTCTCGAGGATCAATTATACGACAAGTGACCCTTACTACCTCTATTGGAGCACCGGCAATTTGGACATTGAGGGGACCTTCGTGTTAGCCTGGGAGCTCCAGATGAACAACTGCTCTCACTCTCCGCAAAGCGACGCATTGACTTTTGGATATTTTGGTTCACACCGCCATCAGTTGTACTACTCCACCAAGAAGTGGCGCTTCCTCGCTGGACTTTGTCGCCGCAACCGAGGATGATGCCTGCGACAAATCCCAAGCCCAGGCCGTACAAGTCCCGGATCTTTTGGAGGTGCCGCCTACACGAACCTGGGGCGCACCTTCCTGTGCAGCAACTGTGGGTCCGTCGCCGACTCCCAATCCTTGCAAGGTCAAGATCGATTCCACAGCTGCCGCAAGTATTTCCGCGGCCTTGGCCTCCAGTGCTTGTGCCAACCCGGTCCGCACGGGGCTGAGCTGCCCAACCCCACCCTCTAAGAGTGCGGCCTCTTGGCGCAATCACCCATCGGAGGGCCCTGGCTATTAGTCATTGGAATGCTGTTCTCTTACTGTCTCGCATCATGAGATGCGTTTTCTTAGTGAGACATGTTACTTTTTCTCTTGCACGGACTGTTCAATCCGTTGTAGCGCTAGTCCTTGGTAAATCTCCGTAATAGGATAATAATCTGCTATACTCCGTCTCGTATGACGCACTAGGAGCTACCTATTCCGTAGGCACATATTTAGTACCCCGTAGTTCTTAGCCGAACTAAGACTGACCCGATGTCAGCCTGAAGAGGCCTTTACCCGGCGGGCAGATCCAGCAGGAGTCAGACGTACATGGCACATGAGCATGCTCCCAATATCCTTTTCACAATGCCAAGGAGGCTATTGTTAACACCGCCCTTGCACCGCGACCAACTATTACATCCCCATGAGCCGTGTCCAATCCGGAGTCCTGCACCTTGACCGACTATACTTGCACAGACACCATCGGAATCAAGGTACCAAGCTCGTTGATCCCACGCGCAACTGAGTCCGATTTGGCCCTGCTCGTCACAACCTATGAGTCTACCATCGGTACAAACTTAGGTGGCCAACTTGTCAGAACCTCCATATGTGGCGTGTATTTCAAGTCAGAATCAGTCCCTGTCCTTAATGGTGATATCGGCATTGACGACGAAGATCTGCTGTCAGAGGGTGTTGACCCGCGAGCGCATGTGTGCACCGAGCGCGGCCAAAACTCAGCTACTACGGATCTGGTGGGTGTGTTGGACCCTACCTTCCCACTGCTGGGAGCAATCAGGCCTCGACAACAGGAGATGACTCTGGTACTAGGCCAACAGAGACAGGGGACCAGAATGCGATTAGTTAAGGGGCTGTGATCGCGCCTTGACGCCATGGGTGGTAGATCAGCTGATAGTAAACATAGAGGATGCAACTTATTCCAGTGCGTTTATTTAAGGTAGTCTATCCTTGAAATGCTGGTGAGATGTGCCAGCATTACCTATCTAAAAGTTGATGGAAATAGTCCACTCTGCGACAGGGATCAGTCCTGCCATGGCTTGGATGCTAGAGCTAGACTTACTACAGCTGTTTATGGCATTATTAACTTCCACAATTAGCTGACCTTGATCCCACTGCTAGGGAGGAGGGACGTATAGAGCCTTGTACTGGCTTGTATTATGCCTATTTTTGGTAAAAGGTATGATGGCAGAAGAGATGCTGGTGTCTGTACTACTGATAGGCAGCCTCTGCAGCTCGTTCCAAGAAGAGTCTCATCTAGTTCACCATGAGCAGTCAATCAAGATAACCGCATAGATCATTACTCACTTCTACGGTCTTCCGTGGCATTCACCGGGATGATCTGGGTGGTCATGAAATGTCGATTTGCCTCGATCTTTTCATCGAAAACGACAACGGGACCTTGGAAAAGGAGATCCCGTACGTGTCCACCCCTGCTATTTATCTTGTTACTTTTGATATTTCTCTTTACTGACAGCGAATGGAATAATCTGCTCCCCAAAAGTCCAAATGACATCTATAGCAGTGTGGTGGGGGTCAAGCTGGACCCCAAAACGGCCGTGCTCAGTGGCTATCGTCTCGAAAATGATGGTAAACTCCGGTATTCGGAGCTGCCGTTGGGCGAGCATTTCGTGAACGGCAATGGAATTATCAAGAGATAGAAACATGGCCACTTCAATGAACTGCCGAAAATATCTGCCTTGACGATGACTGGTGGTTGCACGCAGACCTCCTGCAGTATAACCTGAAGGGTCATTACAACGACATTTTTCTTGAATTGTCAAATATATGCACTTTGGGATGGAAAATTCGTCATGGATGACCCGTAAATCCATATATTCTCTCTCCCTAGAATTCCGAGTACCATGCATTCTAATGCAAATTGCGATGGAAGTGCTGGACTTTTTGACTTGCGAGGCCGTATCATGCGCTTTCTGGAGGATGTACCAGGTCTCAGCTATGTTGTCACTGGAATCTATGAGGCGGCGGGTGACAAGGTGAAATGAAAAAGTTGATCATATCATGTTCTGCGGTTACTGACCATTTTGCAGGACGAGGCTAAGCGCGCCGTGGCAGAGTGTATCTATTCTGCTCTTGCCACCACCGGCGCAATCATTAGCTTTTCTCCCACTGGGCCGATCGGAGCATCCCTTGAATCGGTGGTTGGTATGATGTTGGGATGGGGGGCCAGGACTGCCATTGGCTATTCTATAAAAGACCCAAAGTTGCGACACTAAGTAATGGCCATCTCGACATTCCAGTTCCTTATGGCAGGGCTTTCTGTCGTCCTGGCATTGCCCATGAAAACGTTTGTTGCTGGTCTCACTGAAATCGCGATAGAGGGCACCGGCACCCTTGAGGAGGGATGGATAGAGAGATGGCTGGAAGCCGCAATCTCCCAGGGAGATGAAGGGTTAGCCAAGTACGGGGCAAAAGTAGTTGGAAAGCCGAGGTGAAAATGTATGCCACTAATCCCCACCTTGACTATTCGGAAGCACAGGATCATTAGCAAAATTAGTGGTCTTATTAGAGATGATAATGGCGCAGGGAAAATTGAATGAGGAAATTCAAGTAGATATTACACGCTTATTTGGGGATGATGACAACGACAGAGCGAATCCTCTCCATGACATAGCATTGCGCCTTAAACGAGCAATCATAACGGTATCGAACAAGGCATTGCAGGACGGGGCAGCGGAAGTCAACAACGCAGTGCAGGGCGTAACACAAGATGCAGCACAGACAGCAATGCAAGAGCAGGAAGCAATACAGGAAGCAGCGCAGGAGCTAGGCCAGGAGGCCGCTCAGGAGGTCACGCAGCAGGCAGGAGGGGGTTTAGCACTGCAGACGGTTGAGCAGCTAGTCCAGTATGTGGTGGTGAGAAACTCAGTAGAGAAGATCTGGATGGCGGCAATGGAACCAGCCGCCTATGGAGGAGAAGGACCAGACGCAGTGGTGATGTTCCTGAAAGTGATGTTGGACATCAAAACGGCGCGACATACAGCATCACAGTACATGAAAGATGAAACTCATTCTGAAGTGAAAGCAGTGGAGGATGCGAAAGACACCGCGCGGAAGCCATTCCCAGGGTCAGCCGAGGACGCAGCATCAAAAGCCAGGGTGGCAGCAGCAGAGATTACAGAGGCAGTACGGCGGCTTAAGTAGGTAGCACAGGTGCTAGAAGATATGGCAGTCCTGAATGCAGGAGGGCACGTTGGTGTAGCAATGCAGAAGGTAGTGCAGGATGCATCCCAGGTAATCAAGGCGGAAGCAGCCGAGAGAGCACGAGACGCGACACATGATATCAAAGAAGCAGTGCGCAAGGCGGTACAGAATATCAAGGAGGAAAGGAGGTTCAGAAGGCGGTCTAGGATGCAGCACCGAAAATTGAGCAAACGGCAAAAGAGAAAGTACAGCAGGCTGCATACCGTATGGCCTGGCGGGAGGAAAGGCGAGGAGGATCGCCGAATATTGATGATGTCCAAAGGGCAGCGCAGGGTGCAGTACCAGGGGCAGTGCAAGGCGTATCACGGTCGATTTCGACTGTAGCAGATGCGGCAGTGGACAAGGCACCACAAGAGTTAGAGGCCGGCAGGAGGTCCAGAAACTAGTACGGAAGGCGGCACAGGGTGCAGTGGAGGTTGCCGTGCCAAAGATTTGCAAGACAATGCAGGACAGTGTGGCAGATGCAGCTGAAGCTGCAGATGACCTCCAAGTTGAATGATATGGTCGCGGTGTATATACCGGGGAAGAGGCCGGAGTGGGAGATTGAGGATGTGGAGGGAATGGATCCCTCGCTGGTATGCTGGCCTCTGCCCTTACTTGGCGATGCTGTCGTTGGATATTTCTGACTTGGCATAGGCTGCGATTATTGGGGTGCTTCTGGCTGCTACGCTGTACCAGAGCAGTATGTCGCTGTCTTAATGCTTAGCGGGTTGTACTAATGTTCATTAGGTGTTAAAGGAAAGCCACCCGAGTCCTTTGGCGAAGGAGATTCTGCGGTTGGTACAAGTGAGAAGGCTTCTTTGATCTGATCAGTAGATGTGATGATGTTGAGCTTCCTCACAGCTAGTCACTATGAAAAGTAATATCCATACGTAAAAAAGCTACGAACAGCATCCAGTTGGAACAACTAATATGTTGACTCATGTAAACAACGTAAAAAGACAGAAAGGCAATACAAAAAAGACCGTTCCTGCATTTGTCAAGTTGAGACAGGTTCTTCCACTATTACCACCCCCTTTCCTACCATCCTATCAATATCGAATTGAAGGTCCAGTCCTCCCCGGCGGTATAGAAGGGGTTGAATAACGACCAGGACAGCTTTACCATCCACCCTAGGGTCATTTGCCTCCACGAAGTGGAAGTGGTGCAAGTACAGCGTCTCCAGATGCCAATGGAAGTGGTCCACCTTGTCGAGACCGCGGATCTCCCACAGTGACCTGTCGGCCCAGCATGTGGTTGCCAGTTCAGCTATACGGCAATAGATGTCAATCATGATTTCGCTCCGTCGATCAGCTTCTTTCGGGCTGGAGAGTTTACGCAACATGAGCCGCATCGGACCGTCAAGAATATTGGAAACGAGTCGTTCAACCGCGGATCTTCTTGCTTGTTTGCTCCTCTCTCCCAAGACTAGTGCTCCCGGGCCCACTATTGAAGTCTGGCTGCCCAATTTTGCCTCTTCGTTTAACGGAACGATTGAGTTTGCAAGGCGAACCGTGTCACTTCGCCATACTTCGGCCTGGCCTTCATCAACTAGGTGCATTACGGTCAGCCAGTTTGCTCTGCAGAAGGTGAGAGACCGTACCTGTTCGGAACATGTGATACATGTTCTGTAGTTTTGTCGGAAGCGAGGTGTCTGGTTTGCCCGCGGTGCTGGTCATTTCTTCCTGCTCATAAAAGTCAAAGTAGAGAAAGGGCTTCATGAAGACATCTTCAAAGAGATGCTTGTTCCAGAGTGCTTGAGCAAAGACCTGAAGGACGCTCTTTTGAATATTGGCTGGAAAACGTTTCATCAAAGACTCCCAATCTTCCTGCTTACAGTATCCATCTAGCGCAGCGATGATGCTCTGCTTCTCACTTGCTGACAGCCTTGCATCGACAGTTTTGACATCTCCGATGGCATAGTCAGTTGTCCAAAACAATAACTCCCGTTTAACGCGCTCACAAGACTTTTCGATGACTGCATCATTGGCGCCTATATAAAGCGCCCGCGTTGCTTCTTTATCCATGGACAGAGATATTGCGAGATACCTCTCTTGGAGCCTCAGGTTTTCAGTTCTTAGATCCCTTATCTGCAGGGCCAAGTCGTAAACCGGTGGTCGCTGGTCGTCTTCGGATTCGCTGCCTGGATGTGCGTCCTCTCCGGGGGATTTCCTCATCTCGCGGTGATCATCACATGGGGAAATGTCTTTTCTCTTCAGTGGAGGAGATGGATGTGCCTTCTGGTTTAAGCCAGGATTGTTAGCAGAGAGTCAGACGAGAGGATGCGAATAGCAAGCGCGGTAATCTGACATACATCAACAGCTGCCTCATCTGCGCCATCAGTGGCTGACAGTGTTACAGCTACTGTCCCCGTCACCTCTGAGGTCAAAGAGCCTTCCGGTCGGACTGGTGAATCTCCTGTAGCGCTTTCCTGTAATCAAGCAACAAGCGTAAGCCTCCACGCCCTGAAGAAGATTGTCTGGTCAAGTCCAACAGAATGCCGGCACAGGGATCCTTCTTACCTCAACAGTAGCCATCTTCCGTGCAATCCGCTGGCTCCTTCTTTTTGCCATAGGAGTCAATTCTTGCTGAGACGATCAGGGAAGGGCAAAAGGTGAAGATTTATAACGGTTGTTAACCTGCAAGAGTAGTGTAGGAAATTATCGAGAGTAAAGAACTAAAGACGAGAATAGAGAGGACGGCTGATCAGATGTCAAAGAAACAGGGGAAGTGAGAGCAGAGAAGAGCAGATTCTTTGTCTGAAAAAGTTTCGCTTCCGGACGTCTTGAGACATCTCGACTGGGTGGCTTGGAACGGCTGAAGAAGTTCTTTGTCGCTGCGAAACCATCTTCCCGATTCTTTTTCCCGACTTACAAAGAAAAATCCACCCCACCCGTGGTTTCCTCGCTTTGCTTCGATCATGATTCACTTTCTTTGTCAATGGATGGGTTGCAGTTCAGCGAGGTCTCGGGGTATCTAACACAACCTCAAGACCTTGTTGGAGTTTTCTTGGCAGTGATTTGACACCTTGCTGAACTGCATGCCATCAATGAAAAAAATAAAAGAAAAAAAGGAAAAAAAAGGAGGCCGTCTCGGTGTGTCTCACAAGTCTCAAAGACTCAATGACATGATTGAGTTTTCTTGGAAGGATCAAGCCTGACTGTGAGTTTGTGTTGACTTCAATACGAAGACTCTGACATTCTGTCTCGGACATCAGGTGTTGCCAGGTCCGGACTCTCTTCGCCAGCTTGAGGTAGTATGGATTCCTTGGAGCAATTTCTTCTGTCTGGTCGTTATAATAGCTTCAAGTGTTACCTCCTAGATGTCGTTGAAAACCAGAATTCCATATCGACATCAGAGAGATTGCCATCCAGCTTGTCACAGTCTATTTGCGCACCTATTTACAATGAATCCAAAAGGCAAACTCGTTGTCGGTGTCGACTACGGCACCACCTTCACAGGTATACTATTCTCAGCTCAGAAAATATGCTTGATCTGATCTAATCACGCAAAATAGGCGTCAGCTATGCGTTTCTAGGGGAAACTTCTCTGCCGATTATCAAGCTTGTCCGCTCCTGGCCCGCTCCATATGGACATGTCCATTGCACCAAAGTCCCATCCAGGATAGCGTATCCTCAAGGCAATTGTGCGATTCAGAAACACAGTTGGGGATTCCGAATTGAACACGGGGTACCCGCCTTTTCCTGGACCAAGTTACTCTTGGATTCAGGTGTGGATATAACCGAGTTCAGTGACAGAGCTTTGGAGGCGGCAACCGCAATGGGAATCATGAAGTTACCTCACGGAAAGATTGCCATCCAGGTTGTCACAGAGTTTCTGCGGGAGGTCTATGTGCACATCTGCCGAGAGCTGGAGAAAGTCCTTGCCGAGCTTTGTCCTCCTCTTCGTCTTCGCGATGTGCATATGGAATTCTGGTTTACAACGCCAGCAGTCTGGTCGGATCAGATTCAGTTTGAATACAAGGAGGCTGCTATTCGTGCAGGCTTTGGACCAAGTGATGACAGGCCGGACGATACCATCTACATGCTTTGCGAGCCCGAAGCCGCCGCACTTGCCACTTTCAAGACAATGCCACTATGTGGACCCGGAATGCAGATCAAGGTGCGCAGTCCGATCTTCAACGCAAAAGAGCCCTGGCTAACCCTGACCGTTTAGCCAGGTGATGGGGTATTGATATGCGACTGTGGAGGCGGCACCGTGGTGAGTCAAACGCTCAAAGTTGGAACTACTGGGGCGCGGCTGACATGACCTAGGACGTGACAAGTTATCTGATCTCGGAGGTCTCTCCCAAGTTGTCGTTCGATGAACTAACTTCGGCCGTTGGTAAGTCCCCTTCCCTTAGGCCCATTGGATGGATGACGGCGCTGAAAGTGAACAGGTGGTATGTGCGGCGCCACAGCCATCGACCGCAATTTCTACCTTCTTATGTCCGAGAGGTTTGGGGCGGCGTTCAAGGACTTGCCGCTTAGACAAAAGGGCCCAGACAGCGAATTCATGGGCTACTTTCAGACCATTAAGGAGGAATTTTGCTGTTCAGCTGTGGACAGGGTCTATCGACTTCACCTGGCCATGGCCCTCAACAACCCCAACCCCACGTTCTTTGACGCAGTAAATCGAGCCGTTTTGCTTTCCAGGTATGCAATTTCCAGAGTTGACGACCTAGCTGGAGAGGGGCTGACTGCTTGTGGCAGCAATGACCTCCGTGGAATATTCGATCCGGTGCTCCGCCAGATTACGCAACTAATATACCGCCAGATTGAAAGCGCCAACCAGGAGATCGGCCGCTTTATCATCAATGTACAGCCCCTGTTATTCGAATAAAGGGCCCCAGAGCTGATTGAAATCCAGAAAATTGTGTTAGTCGGCGGCTTTAGCCAGTCACCATACCTACGGGAACGGATCTCGGAAACCTTTGCCGTCGATGGCAAGCTGGCCATACTCACTCCAGCAGACCCGTATGTGTCAGCAATGGTCTCCCACTGGCAAGGAAGCTAACCGCATCACAGGCAAGCAATGGTCATGCGCGGCGCAGCGATTCGGGGACTCGGAGTGCCTCAGCCCACCACGAGAAAATGCCGAAGCCATTACGGCTTCGAGCGTTCTCTTTCGGTCGAGGGTACAGGGACGGTCACTGGATTTGCCTCCTGGGTCCTTGCCAAGGTGAGTTCTAGCATCTGTCCGCGAGATGCTACGTGATGCCAACTGTTTCTTACATTGCGAAGGGGGAGAGGTATGCCCGGAATCACACGGCAACGCAAGACTTGGTTGTTACCCATCGCGCAGGGGATTCATTGATAAAGATCAGTACCCTCTACGGGTGTAATGATGCGAACGCCCCACAACGAGTTGATCACCCAGGTGGGTTATTGTTCCTAAGTGAAAGCGTTGGGTTTATCATTGATACAATCTAGGTGTTTATCTCATCGCACAGCTCATGTGTGACTTTGCAAGTGTCGACCTTGCTCAGTTCCCGCAGTTTCGAACGGGCACGCAAGTGGAGTATCTGTTGGGATATTCCATTGAGGTCACTTTTGGCGCCCGGGGTGACCTCAAGTGCAAGGCTATCTGTCAGGGTCGAACAGTCGGAGAAACTACCGTCCACTTTGCCCGAGAGCAATGGTAGGGATCTCTGTCAACGGTGCTTGGTCTATCGATAGTTTAGCGATGTTCGTTGTCGACATTCACTCTCAAATGGTAACATATTTTCGAATTGTACACATCAAAGATGCTAGCGGTTGTTGTATAACGCATTGGATAATGTTCCTGTCTGACTCCTATTCCCATCTATCCCTTCCCGAATGACACTCGGAACGGACTTGCCACATAAATCTAGAATTATCCAAATCTGTTGCAGATAGATCAGATCCACGTTGTTGTCAACCGCGACTAAGCTTCGGCCACTACTTTAGATGTATTGGGTAACTGACAGTTGGGGTCTCTGCGGTGAAAATGGGCGGCTGAGTGGCTGAGACGGATGCTTCCCGGTTGGAGGACACGTTCTGGCATAATGGTTCTATGTCTAGACCCCATTTAGCGGGCCGCTCTGTACAGAACCTAGGTATCTATGGAAGAGGAAGAGGGAGAGGAAGAGGAAGAGGATAGTTTGCTCCTGTCTCGCCCAGTGCTTCCGGGCCACCCGACAAGAACGGAGTATGGGATCAATGGGAAGACATTAAAACCCCGGACTGATGACGAGGGCATGCTTGATTCCAAGAGCTATACAAAATCATGCTTCTCTCGGCTCTACTGCTCTTTAGTTCCCGGATGTGTTGAACTAACATCATACACGGCTCGTGGACCGTAATCTTGTCACCGATGAGATTCTGGCTGTGGTAGTACTGGACAATTTCAAGAATGGCATCCCGCAATGTCAGTGAGTGGAATTATCAGCTTGGCCTCATTGATCACATGCACCTCCAGCAAATCCTGTGAAATAATCCGTATAATCTTGGTGATCCCCTTACGAGAGCCGCTTGGCCTGCACTATCGTCTCTATCTCAAGCAGGCAGGACTGCTCCTCCACGACGGGCTGCTCAGCTTCTTTCGCCACAGGTGTATCTATGGAGATTTGATGCTAGGCTAGCCATATATATTTCCATTGAAGTGCACAGGTGTATTCGTATATACCTAGGGAAATAAGTCTTTGCACTGGAGTGAGCTACAAGATGTCGAGCACGCGAAAAAAGTGTCAAGCAAGTATATGAAATACGTTCAAAGCGAGCCCTCGATCAGTTGCAACCTTGCCATACAAACAAAGGCAGATTCTCTGCTTGTGGATCATTTCTCATCCAACCTATACTCCCGAATCAAAACATCCGCAGCTGTGGCCCCGGTCACATAAGCAGTAGCCTGGGTATGACCATTCGGCAAAACAGGCACAGTGCTCATATCCGCCACACGAAGGTTCTCGATTCCAAACACCCGGAAATGATTGTCCACCGCCGCATCAGCGGCACCGTTCTTACCCATCTTAACGGTGCCGGTCATATGCCAACTAGACGAGAGATTCTCCTTCCAGAATTGCAGAATGTCCTCATCCGATTCGGACGCCGGTCCCATGATCGTCGAGATGGTATCTTTAGCAAAGGCTTCGTGTTTCGTCAAGTCCCAGAGATGACGAAAGGTCTCGATGCAGGCCCGTCGGTCGAAGGGGTGGGAGAGGAACTTGGGATCGAAGAGGAGTGGGTCGTTTGGGTCTGATGATTGTAGTCGGACTTCGCCGGCTGATTGTTCGTTCATCAGGAAGACTAGCATGCAAATATAACTGTAATCTTGGAAGAGGTGTGGGAAGATGAAGTGAGCTGGGAAATGGGTCATAACCTCGTAGTGCGGGATAGTCTCCCGGTTGAGGAAGTCTTGTACCGATGGTGGGAGGGAGTTGAATTCAGCGGACGAGGTGACTTGCTCTGATTTGAACCAGCCGACGCCCAGTTGGCAGGCGTATCGGGCCCATGGGCCTGTTCCGTCTGTTTCCCATTGTTTCATCGCTGCTGTCATGGCGGTTTGGTCTTGGAAGAAGGTGTTGCGGTCGTTTGTTTCTGGGTTTCTGGCTAGGATGATCGGCACGAAGAAGTGGTCGCGCAGTCCCTGGCCGATTGCTGGAAGGTCTTGAATGACTGGGATGTTGAATTTTGCCAGCTCGTCGGCTGGGCCGATGCCAGAGTGCATTAGGATCTTGGGGTTGTCGAGGGCACCAGCTGAGAGAATAATTTCTTTGGCAGCAAGATCTGTTCAGACGTTAGAAATGTTTTGGAAGATAAAAAGGTAGTAAAAGGTCCGGACAGGACTTACACCTCTTTCTATTGGTCTCAACACCAATAGCCCTCTTGCCTTCTAGAATGACGCGCTGCACCGGACTGTTGGTGACAGTAAAGAGGTTGTCAGGCGCATCAGACAACAAGTCCACCGCAGTTGTCCGTAGCCCCTTATGAGCCGAGTTGATACACAGACCCATTCCTAAGGGGTTGCCCGAATTATGGTCCATGTTCCGTTGGAGCCCAGCCTGTTCAAAGGCATCCAGAACCAGCGAGAGATCATCTTCCCATTCTTTGGCATACCCAACCTGCAAACCACCCTTGTCTCCATGATCTGTAACCTGATGTCCACCGTACTTCTTGTCAATAGACCCCGCGAAGGTTTCAAGATTCTTGAACCGTGCTTGCATGTTCTTCCACGAGAAGGTTTCATCTCCAACCACGGACGCCCATTCATCATAGTCATCCTTAGCCCCGACAGTGTACACTCCAAAATTGATCGCAGAACATCCGCCTAGTCCTTTGCCTCGGGAATAGTCCAGTTGACGGCCGTTGCAATGCTCTTGTGGGGTTGTTTTGTAGCCCCAGTTCATTTGCTCTTCCATGAAGGTTGTCCATCGCTTACCGTCGACGCGCAGGGTCTTGTCATCATTCCTTCCGCCGGCTTCAAGGAGAAGAACACTGGGGCGTTTGGCAGACTTAGCGAGCAATGTGGCGAGGGTGCATCCAGCCGGGCCGCCTGATCATACAATGAGCTATGTTGGACGACTCTTGCAGCGAGATGCATACTGACCTCCAACGACAATAAAATCGTATGTCTGCTCTGATGCCATATCGGACGACATCCGCATGCCGAGAAAGAAAAGCGAATGGTAGAACAGTCAAGTCTGTCGACTTTCTTGCAACACCCCTTCTTATATGTGCGCCAGAGACCCGCTTTTGCAGCCTTCTCGCCCCGCATCAGCGTCAGCGAGAGACTAAGCCAAGACGATAGCTCAACGGACGATTGGCCCAGGGCATTTGTCAGAGTGACTACTACTCCAGCATGCTGCATATCCCCTCTGCCATATCTGCCTAATGAGCCGATCGTCGGGGTAAGAACCACAGCCTAGTGGGGAAACAGCTGACCGCCGCTTTTCCTGCATCATTCAGACATGGCCTCGCTATGGATAAGCATAAATAACTGAGATTCGATCGGTGCTTTCCTTTCGCATTTCTTCCAGGTAGAACGAACCATGCCCTCCCAACCCTCTTGTCTCATGCGGGGGTAATTATGAATCCGTCTGCTCGGCGCGTCGCCTGTGACCAGCATCATGTCCAGAAGCTGCGTTGCACAAAACTGGAAAACAGCACTGTATTGTTCGATGTCAGCAATTGAACCGCCGGTGTCTGGAATCCTCCATCGCGGTGTGGTCGCCCAGCAAGGACAATCGTGGAGAGAAGCTGTTCAATGGCCACGCTCACTCAGGGGTGCCCATTGATTGACATCTTTAACAAAACACAGCACTTATCGACATTGCAAGGCAAACGAGCGTCTATTTCGCCTCCCTGTCCACACGTCTTGTCCCCTGTAGACCCGTATACGCAGCGAGAGATGCCTCCACCTGCGTCCCTTTCAAGTACGGCTCAAGGAGATCCATCAAGCCCGGATATACCGACATCCCTCTTCTTTACAACCGGCGACGCCACGACCGTCTCAATACAAATAGCGCATTTGTCCGCGCACTGTCAGTTAATCGATGGCCAGGGGCCCGGACTATCGCCAAAGAATGCACCCTGTTATCCTGCCGTTGCAGTGTGGTGGCACTACGGTGCGCTGCAAATTCTAATGGCATCCAGGCCATCTCCTACCTGCTCACGGAGGCGGGGCGGGCCGTGGGTGTTGACGAGTGGGAACGGGAGGTGACGAGGGAGCGATCGCGGCCTGAAGAGAGGGGATTTTACTCGTCCAGTCAGAAGCATGCGCCGTCTCGTCCAGGGACCGAGCTGAGTATAGTAGGGGATTGCTCAGCGCTGCAATAATAGAGGTTGTGGTTCAAAAGGTTGGGCTGTTGCGGTGAAGCTTAAGAGGGTTAAGAAGGAGGTACAGAAGAGTACGCATTGACCTTGCAGACCGTCGCATTGATATCAATCGGGTCGAATGAATCACAGCGTTACCTAGTAATGAACTAAACTCGCCGATGTCGAACCGAAAGCCCAGCTTGACGCCGAACCATAGCCTAAGCTCACATCGTAGCTGGTTTATGCTGTTGAGTAGATCGTTCATCTTATTGCAATTTTAAGTGGCACAAACAATAGGCTACTTATCCTTTCCTATTTCCGTCACCTTCCACTGCAAACCGGCCGTTTCCAGCCGCTCCACGTATAACATCCCCAACGATGCAGGGGTGAGAATCCCCCCACCTAACTCCTTGACCATCGATCCATTGTCATCTCCGTCCAAAACCTCCAACAGCGTCAAGGCAGCTTCACTGACCAAAGTCGCACAGACACTATACATGTCCGTGTCCATGCGCATGACACCCACTGCACTGGGCTGGCTTACATCCTCCCCATCCACTGCGACTGTGGCCTTCCATTCCACGAAATGATTCTCCCCGGTCACCCGCGGTCCGGTTCCCGGTTGCGGGGACAGCCATTGGAGCAGCCACCGGAGTGGTGGGAATACAACGACACAAAAAGCCGCGACGGATATGGCTAGAAACGAGGACCACGCCTGCAGCCAGCTCGGCGCCGCGGTATACCCCTGGAAGCTGAATCGCTCACCGTATCGCTCGCTTCGCCGCCCGTATCGCTGTAGAAGGGACCAGGTGCGCATAACCACAGCCTGATCAGCCATTGCGGAGGGGTTGAAGGTGAGAATACCAAGGACGCGATCCCGTCGGACTGGGAGGAACAGCGGGGGATGAAGGTTATGCGGTCCGGCGTCGGGGATGCAGGTTGCGTGAGGTGCGCTGGCAGCCATCATCTGCCCAATTGAGTACGTCTCGATACCCGCGAGGATGCTTGCGATGGTACCCCCGCTGTAACCAGTCCAGGTATGTTGGATTGTGAAGAAGACGGGACCCAAAGGACGGTGCAACCTGCGCGCGAGAAGCAGCGTCATTAGGTCTGGGGGACTGGACTCCACGGCGCATTGGGGGATGATCTACGTCGACAGTCAGCAATCAGCATCTCTTGTATATTGTTCTGCTGGGCATACAATTGCCTTGTTGGCTATGGCCTTGTCGTGCCACTGCGCTGCCAGCTGCTGCGTCCAGACATGTTCACCTGTGGAATCCACATAGGCAGTGGAGTTCTCGATACAGGCTACCACGACGGGTGTGCCGTATTTACAAAATGGCTGTACCTGCTCTCAGCTTTGACTCAGTGCGGGAGCTGAAGGACTTACTCCGACGGTGTAGGGATTGGTCTAGGGAGTTGGCAAGCGCCACCAGCTTCTTCTCGCTGCGGCCGGCGACAGCCCATCGGAGGGTCGGTGGACTGTTGGCCCATAGGTACTGCACCACCAGAGAGCCCAGGTAGCCGGTGGCGCCATGCACAATCAAATCATATGGCCGGCTCATTCTTGTTGAAGCTGTATAAAGATGGCAGTGAAAAGGGAAGCAAGTGACCGAGTAAGCCATGATTATGATGGAAGATGTTTGCTTTGTCCCCTCACAAGCGCAACCCCTAACTAGCCTCTTTTGGCGAAACCCGCCGAATGGCATCTCAGCCAATGACCACTGGTCAGCATCAAGTACAAGACAAATGTGAGATAATTTGCGTGAATAGTCTGCAAAGTTGATAAAATGGCAGCCCTCGTCTTCCTCCGTTATACGGTCAGATGGCCAGTATCTTGCGTCAGAGACCAAGCGGATTTAAAGTCTGAGATTATTCACTCGGGACTACCTGTTTATCCCAGTCATACACGCACCCCTTCTCAATTGCCCAGTCCTTGACGGTTCTGCCCTCGATATTTTTTATTACTTCGTATCTGCGTCATGCTTCCTGAAAAGATCAATACCTCTCTCGTGCACGTAGGATCCCTGCTGTTAAATGTGACGAGCAAGCGGAGTCCGTCCCAGCTGGTCTTGAGCATTCACATCTGCGCCTGCGTCAAGCAGGATGCGTGCGATTTTGCCCTGATTGTATTGCCGCAAGATACAGCGGTGTCATGCACATAACGGAATATGCATTAGGGCCCGTTCCTCCACGCTGGCGCCGCGGTTGATCAAACGCTGCACGATCTCAGGGTGGCCGCCAATGATGCTTCGTGCAGTGGGTTGCCATCGCGGTATTCCAGGCCTGCTCCATCAGGTCCGGATCATCCAGAAGCTGGCTCAGCCTTTCCCAGGCACCGTTTCTGGCATGATGCAGAATAAAGTTGATCAGCTTTCGCCGCTGCTGCGCTGGAGGTGGTGACATGAGTGTGGACTAGATTAGCATTGGCAATCTCCAGGATTTATTGAACTAGGTGAAGTGTGACTAGTCCACTCAGTGTTAGTGTAGTTCGATCAGCAAATGGATAATATATCGAATTATTGCGAGAAAATTATCAGTTTCTTAAGTACCCACATAGTATAAGGTAGTATGTAACTGTCTTTTAGGTGAATGTGAATGTAGACAGAGGAAAACTACATTCTACTAACCACTAATTTGTGCCAGCCACTTGGTCATGGTCTTGGTGCTCTGCATTAGCATCTCTATATCAAAGGAAAGTAGTTAACGGTTTTAGTTACTTTTAATTATTGGTCAGAATTCAGTTCAATCATTGCCTCTTTAGGTTTTAGTTCCCATGCCTTATTCTTTAGGCCTGTACTCTATATTTCCCTGCAACCTTTCAAGCCCTACGCCCCTACGCCAGTGCCTTACCAGCATCTGCCCTTACCTTAGGTATTGCCCTTATTTCTAAACTACCACCTGTTTCAAGTCCTATTCATTACTATCTTACGAAGGAGATAAGGGAGATAATATATAAGTATTAACTGTATAAAATCTATATGCAAATGAAGTCTATGCACAAGTCTATAAGCACCCTTCCTTGATGATATATGTACACCTACAGAACTGAGACAGCCTCACCAGACTTAAGCCAGCAGACCTTATCACTAATCCCCTCCTCCTCAAACGCCTCCCGTAACTCCTTTCCAAACTGCGTAAAATGATGCCACGACTCATAGTGCATCGGAACCAGGACATCAGCCTTGATATCCCGGAACAGCCGCGCCGCCTGCTTCCCATCCATGGTAATGTTTATAAGCGGACTATTGGGATCCTCCAGGTCCGAAGGCACATGCGCATTCCCCAGGTTGAACACCGCCGCGCAGATATGGTATTCATCCGCCATCTTTTTGAGCTCTTCGATGTAGACCGTGTCGCCGGAGAAGTAGATCGCCTTGGGGAGGTTATCGCGACCGGTTCCGAAGTCTTCGCCTGTGATGATGAAGCCGGTGCATTCCCCGCCTGGGAGATGTTGCGTCGGCGTGCCGATAATCTCGAACTTCTTGCCGGCTATGGTGACATTGATCCTCTCCCAGGGTTTCAGGCCGTGGACTGCCGGACGGGGAGAGAGGTTCTTTGCGCCGTCGACGGTTGTGAAGACGCGGCGGCCGTCTAGGAGGCGCCGGCCTAGGTCGTCAAGGTTATCGACGTGGTCTTCATGACTGAGCAGGACGGCGTCGATGACGGGGAGTTGGTCTAGACGGAGGGCAGGGTCGTCGTCGACGAGAAGGTGAATCACTTCGTTGACTGGGAATTTGGTGCCGGCGGGAGAGAAAAAGGGATCGGTGAGCATGTTTACGCCATTGATCTCGAGGATGGCGGTGGCGGTGCCAATGTGAGTGATGTTCAAGGTTGGAGACATTGTGATAATAAAGTAAGCGCCTTGGAGTTTGTAGATGCTTGGTCTATTTCTTCATTCTTCTACGAGTGTTATCTGGGTTTTATATACAAAGGACATGACGCGAAGAGTTCAACTCATACGATACACCGGTAGAAGGATTACTCAGGCTGACAAATGTGATTTAAACAGAAAGAAGTTACATTACTCAGATATGGATATCAAGAAGTATAAGATTACTCAGACGTAGGTATCAGAAAGTAGATGATGGAGACGTGCATCAAAAGTTTTGACGCTGGTTCGTGCGCCTTATGTAACATGTAGCCAATCATTTCGTCTAGTTGTCAGCACTGATAACTATGATTGGCTACATTTTGCATAACTGCACACGGACCAGCGTCAAAACTTTTCAATGGTGCACCCGTGGCCGCCTCCGTATTCAGATATATGGATCTCGGGATTATGCCAAATGGTTCGCAGTCACTAGCTGAAAACAGTCACTATCTCCGCCAAGACGTCCTTTTCAGTCACAATCTCCGCCAAGATGTCTATACAAGTTAAACAATCCTCGGAAAGCTCTTGAAAATCCTTCGAGAATCTTGAATAATGCTTCCCCTTTCAAGGATAGATATTAAAAATCCTCTCTGCTCGCCACCTAGAGCTTAATAATATCAGAAATAATCATCAAGAGCGGCTAAGCATTGCCGTCGGCTATCAGAAGCCGCTTGACTAGCCATAAAGTTACTATAAATATGTGTATTTCTGTTTTAGTATCTATTTCTCAGTTACCATTGATCAGGCGACAGTGGTCTGGAGGATTTCACAAAGTCCTTCCTTTAGCTGTCACATGATGGATCCCTCCATCGATGATGGAGAAGCCAACAGACAGGCTTCCCTGCCAGAGAGAGAACTCGATCTGACGCGCAGTTACACGGCCGGTGCAGAGGGCTACCCGTCTGCCAGCATTGAACCCAAAATCACCCTGGTTGCAAGCGTCCAGAATCCCCCCGAATATGAAGTATACTGGGAAAGCGCCGACAGCGAGAATCCGCGCACCTGGCCGCTGTGGTACAAAGGCCTCACCGTGGTGGCCATGAGCCTGGGTGCAACAGTCATCAGTCTCTTCAGCACATTATACACTTCCGGTATTCCCGGGTTGATGGAGGATTTCCATGTTTCAAAGCTTACCGCGCTACTCGGTGTCACGACGTATCTTCTAGGCATGGCTGTCGGGAGTCTATTCGTTGCTCCGCTGAGTGAGATTGTGGGCCGACGGCCAGTGTACATTGTCTCGATGAGTGTGTTTCTTGTGCTTCTTCTGCCAAGTGCGCTGGCGCAGAATATCACTTCAATCATTGCCAGCCGCTTCTTTGGAGGGTTCTTCGGCAGTGCGATGATGTCCAATTCGCCTGCCTCGGTCAACGATGTCATATCAGACAAACACCGTGCTCTGGCCTTTGGAATCTGGTCAATTGGTCCAGCAAATGGTCCAGTGTATGGGCCCATTATTGGAGGATTTGTGTTTGAGTATCTCGGATGGAGATGGACGAACTGGATTGTGCTGATCATTGGTGGTGTGGTCTTGGTGTTGCTCGCTTCTATCAAAGAGACTTATGCGCCAGTTATTCTGAAGAAGAGAGCCGCAAAGCGACGAAAGGAGACAAACAATCCAAAGTGGTGGACGCGTTACGATCACCAGCAAGGGTTCATGTCTCTGCTCCAAACCAGTCTCAAGCGGCCGTTGAAAATGATGCTTACAGAGCCAATATGGTAGGCAATACGCAACCCCCTGACGAAATGGTAAGCTGACAATGACAGTATCTTCTGGGATAGTTACGTCGCCATCGTCTACGCAATCCTCTACCTCTGCTTCGTCGCCTACCCCATCGCCTTCCAACAGGAACGCGGCTGGCCACCCGGCATCGCCGGCCTCTCATTCATCGGAATAGGCGTCGGCGTCCTGATAGCCATAGCCCTCGAACCTCTCTTCCGCCGAGTCATAAACGCCCACCGCAAGGATCCGGAAACCGGTACCGTTCCCCCAGAGGCGATGGTTAGCATCGTCTGTCTGGGAGCGACGCTTCTAGCCATCGGCCAGCTCTGGTTTTCCTGGACGTGCCGTCCAAATGTCCACTGGATCGTGCCGATTCTCGCTGGTGTCCCGTTCGGCGCGGGTAATGCTTGTGTCTTCATCTACGCGAGTAATTATCTGGCGAGGTCGTATGGGATCTACGCTGCGTCTGCGTTGGCGGGGAATATGGTTTTGAGAAGTATCATGGGTGCGTGTCTGCCGCTTGCGGGACCGTCGATGTATGGAACTCTGGGGCTGAGCTGGGCTGGGACGCTGTTGGGGATCGTCGAGGCTGTCTGCATCTCCATTCCGACTGTGTTTTACTTTGTGGGGGATCGTATCCGCGCTGCGAGTCCTATGATCAAGGAGATTGCGAAAATGCATGGATAGAGATGGCTTGATGCCGACTGTTTGTTCTTAACCTGTATATATATGTTGATATAGATAGTTAATACTACAACGCCCCTTGGCATGCACATGCAAACTTGCTACTCCTGACCTTGATATATGCTTCATTGAAGGATTCTCAACGCTTACAGCCAAGTGCAAAACCAGCTTCACTGTTTCATACTCTCTCGATCATTTGGTCTTTCGCTTTAGTCTCCTTCTCTAGGCAGTGCCCTTTCCAGTCAAGTGCATAATGTCCAATATACAGCTAGTTCCCAGTCATTTTGGCGGTAATTGATGCTGGCTGTGTACGTACGCGAGGCAAACACGCAATTGGAAAATTAGACCACTGTCTCAATCCCAACCCATCGAAACCTTCGCATGCCAAAACAAGATCAATAAGGCAAGTGACTGTTTGCAGTAGAAGTCGGAATCCAAGACGCGAGATTCTTAGTGAATCTTGTGAGTGGCCGGTCCTCCGGGATAGGCTGTCCGAGCCATCTTCTTAGTTGCTCCTGTGCCGAATGGCAGTTACCATTGCGTGAATCATACTTGGTCTCTCACGTATAATGCTCCAAGAAGGTGCGCGCTTCGTCAACAGTGCAGACTCTACCGACAGCTTCTCCACGAAGCTGCTTTGTCCATTTTATACCGGCCATCGTTATCACTTGGTGGTTGTCAAGAACTTCGTCGACAAGAACTTCGACTTCTTGGAAGCCTATTGTTGATTTGCGCAGGTTAGCTTTGGGAATATTACTAATAAGGGCACCAAGAGACTTCACCGTAAGTCGCCTTCATACTTAGAGAAGGTCATCAATAGATAAGAGTAAGCCATACCAACAGCCTCATTGCCAACTAGTCTTTCAATAAGAAAGTACCTGCCATCGCGGGTAAGGAGAAGCAGTGCCGAGTGTGCAAGAATATCTCGCCCGAACAACATTCCATCTAAAGCTCGGCGAACAACAAAGGTGCGGTCAATTTGCTATTTGAGGGTGTCAGCATGGTCACTCGGCAGATGAGCGGGTCGGATAGGAGTAGTACATTTCCAGCCATTATACTATGCCTATAGCTTGAGTCGAGTTTGCTACAAGTAGTAGTGCCCCGGGTAGCACAATCACGAAAATATCAGTCGTTGACCTCCCTGATCAGCCCTCTTTCTAGATAATTGTGGAGTGCACTATGGCTGTGAAGCAGTTTGTCTAGGCAGCCCTTGATTGACATAAGCGCTTTAGTCGAACATGTAACACCTCTCTCTGATAGAGTACGATATTGAGACTAGGAATCTGATCCATCGTAACTATCTTAGAGCACTTGCTACAGTAAGCTGACTTGACGGACATGTGAGTCGAAGCGGGGTTGCCCAAGGGGAAGAAGCTGGGCGCTTAGCTATCAGCGGGGCACCCTGAAGAAGCTACATTCTCTTCCCATCATCTTTCCCGAGCTTGCCCTTTAATACTCACATCATAATGAACGACTCTATCTCTCATCGCCTGGCCGCTTGTGCCGAAGGCTTTGGGGTGAGCGATCCTTCCGGCTATCGAGATGCGGCGGTCCACAGTGCTGTACCAGCTACAGTGGGAGAATGGACAGCCCTCTTAAAGAACAACACCTCTTGTTTGAAGGGGATCGCAACAGGGGGGTGTTCTGGAGATGGCTCAATATACAGGTATGTCCATCACCACTTGCAGTTCGTGAGGCACCTTCTGATGGCAGTTTAATTCTTCAGCTTTTGAATTCGACTACGACCCAATCGAGGGACCCCAACACGTCCAGGACGAGGAGACTGAGATTCAAACTATAAGGATTGAGAGCGAGAGCGAACGTCAGGGTATTCATATCGGCATCTCTCAACAAGAGCTCGAGGTTTTTATGTAGTGCCTCTACATCACCCTCGATGGAATTGCCCTTAGAGCGTGGATGCTTTCCATGAAAGAAGATAAATCCAGATGGAAGGCCATTGAGGTACGTTTGTGGTCATTATGGTAAGGCAGACAGGCTAGTAATTCAGGACAGACGAGGCACATCGTATCACTCCCAATGGCGTTGGGAGATTCAGTGGCTTTGAATGGGTCCCAGAGAAATTTAGAGAACTACTAAGACCCGTGGTCCCGAGTGTGCCTCGCCTGGCCCTACCTGATGATTCACATATTGGCCTATCATCTTTTGCGATCACTAGCCGGCTAACACTCTACGGCCACAAGGATTGGCGTGTGGTCGCGTTTCAGGATGAGGCAGGATGTATCAAATATGGCTTTATTAACACATCGGAGGATCGACCGATCACAGATGTTCTCTTTGTAGACACAATTGCCCGTGCAGGTCTCAACACCCCCCTCCTTATATCCCCGGATCTACGTAGCGGAGTCAGCATTATATATGTGACTGAGGACGGATTCCTGGCCGACCAAGTCTTGGATCGATATACTGGTGCCTGGGATTATGGGTCTCTCATTGACCATCAACTTCAAGTCGCCTCCCACTCAAACCTCGCCAGTTCTACAGAAAATGGACTTTTCGTTTGTTTCGAAGACTCAAAGGGGAATCTGTGTCTTGTTAGTCCAGATAAAGGTACAGAGTGCCTGAATCATGGCAGGGACCTCAATTTCCTACCAGGAACAGCTTTGGCAATCAGAAGCTGGGAGAGCTACACAGGGCCGCTTGGCTTCGGATCTGTCAATAATCATCTGGCAATTGGTTCCCAAGACCGAGATGGGACACTGATGTCGCTCCAGAGACAGACGGGAGAAAGCGGTTGTACCAACTGGATTTTATCACAAATCGTCGCCCCATCTGTCACGGATCGCCTTCCCTTCAAGCCATGGACTCGGAGCAACTGCCTGTTCTCGCTTCACCCCGGTTCTCCGCCACAAATCGAGCACGTACTCTTTCCTGATCCATTAAACCAAATAGTGTGCCATGCTCGCGACAGCACTGGGTGTTTGGTCAGACATTCGAATCCAGTTTGCACGATCTGGGAGGGGTCTCGATATGCATATATGGATCGAGCCTTGGTATACATGTCGTTAAATGGGCAGCTTGAATGCACAGAACTACATGGGGATCCTCTCACCGCAAGAACACGGGCTATATTCCAATTCCAGTGCCGAAAACGAAATCATTCTCAGTTTGATCGTATGTTTAGTTATGGTATATACGGCTGACTTTAGCTCTTAGTCAACTGCGAAGATTTTTCCTGGTATTAATAAGTAATGTAATGCTCTGGAACTCTAAACTAAGGACTGTCGTGCAAGAGGCACTCGATCATGCCCTTGAAATTGTGTCAACCTTACTCAGGGAGCTGCTTGAGAAATTATTCAATTGCTGCATAGTCTTGACCAACCTAGCTGGCAGCCTTAAGCTCTGTGACGGTGATCGGAGCTTTAGAAGAATTTGAACATGGTCAAGATACCCAACATAATTCAATTACTGCCTCTTGTACAACAAAGATTGAAATTAGTTCGCCATTGGATCTTGTTGGCCACCAGGCCTCAACTCCTAATCAGTCTTAGGTCATCAAAGCTCAGGTAGCACTAGATGATTTTTGCTTTTCCCCCTCCTCTATTCCTAATTTCTCTACAGAAGGACGGATTGGGAGAGGCATGCCACAAGTGTATACCTAACACTGGGGCTGATCGGTGCAACGTGCTTTACCAAGCCATCTATTAGAGCCAACAGACTTTTCGGGTCCATAGACTTATCTCCTTTCCCCCGTACACGTCGTATTTGTTATTGATATGGCCCATCTAAGGTTTCCGTTCCTCACAAGGCATAGCATTTATATGGACTTCTTTCTTCATGCTTCCCTAGGCTTCAAAAAGCGGGATCCAGATCTGCTGAGAGCCCTGCCCCAGTTGGGCTCAAATATTTGACTTAGCGGGTCGATAGAAGACGGTTTCTGACAGCGAAGACGAAGCCGTAGCGTCACGGCTGTAGCTGACAGATAATACTTGCAAATCTTAACTCTTATTTTCAAGGAATACCCCCATCCTCGACCCGAATCCCATTTGCACGTCTCTGGCTGCTATACGTAGATGTACTGGATGTTTGCCGCTGTGAGTTAGTCTCTCAACTTGGCAAAAGTACCGATGCCAAACAGAGAGAGTAGTCACATAAGGCCGAGAACGTAAGTTGTGTGCTGAGGGCCAGGGATTGGCGCTGAAGAAGTAGGAAGGCCAACAGCCAGTCCTTCATCCTGCCTGACCGCTACACAAACTTAAGAGACCGCCAGGCAACATGCATTATTGGTAGCTATACAGCTATACTTATTTTCCGGGGAGGGAGGAATGGAATAATAGGAGAAATAGAAGAAAGCAGGGCAGTCATATGGACATTGCTGCAGGCGTGTCTCCATCTGAGTGGGCCAGGCTTGTTTGCCATAATGCATGCAAAACCTTGGACAACTCACACCTGCATAGTCACCCTCGTTCCATGGGGCACTCTAAGCTAGAACTATTATTTCCACGGTCCTTGTATCTCTGCTATATCTATGGAAAACAGCGCATCTGCTGGTGTCAGGAATCAACAAAAGATGGGGAACCGAAAGAAGAAATTTTACTCCAAGAAGAACGGCGAGTCAAATCTGCACTTGGAGGAACCTCAGGCAAGCGGCTTGGAGCGTTCTCTCCTCAGAGACTCGCAGATTGAATATAATCAACCCGAATCATCGTAAGTCTCCTGATGGATCCGACTATATTTCGTTCAGTTGAGACTGACAGCGCCAAATATAGTCCATATGAGTCTCCAATCGCCACTATCCACATAGGACGCAGAACATACATGATTCCAGTATGTTACATCCAAAAATATTTCCAGTTCGACAGTTCCCTCTCATGGGAATCACATTATAAACTTTCTGAGGTGGATGAGGAGGTTGGTCACACTATTGTGCACTTCTTGTGCACGGGGAGTTACGAAACGCTCCGGACGGCATCCGACTCAGGTTTGTCCAATATGGCAACAGAATACAGAAGGAGCATGCTTGTCTACCACGCAGCCAGAAAATATGATTTATACGACCTGGAGATGTACGCAAAGAAATACATCAAGATGTTCGGCGAGTCGATGTCCGCTTTCGATAGCATGGAGGCTGCAAGGAAAATATATTCAAAACTTCCACAAGGTGAGGTTTGGCTTCCCAACTACCTCCATGAACAGCTCCGAGTTGCCTTTTTATCGGACACAAACATCTTTCAGCGCGAAGAGTTCTATGATGGCGTTGGGGAAGACCCTGATTTCGACAAAGCCGTCATGAGAATGGTCGTCAACATCTACTCTGAGGCATTGTCTAAACAGGGCACTGAGGCTATCCCTGAGGAGACTCACCTTGAAGATAGTGTTGCTAAAGAGGGTACTGTTGAGGGGAATGATGTGGAAAACCATGTTTCTGAAGAGACTGTTGCTGAAGTCCCTGTTGCTGAAGAGACTGTTGCTGAAGACACTGCTGCTGAAGTCCCTGTTGCTGAAGACTGTATTGCTGAAGAGTGTGTTGCTGAGGGGAATGATGTGGAAGACCCTGTTGCTGAAGAAGCTTTTGCTGAAGACACTGTTGCCGAAGAGACCGTTGTTGTTGTTGTTGAAGAGGACGATGTCAGTTTCGATAGTCCAGCAGAGCCTTCACGCACAACGCTAGACTTTGGATGGGGCAAGAACTGGGATACAGGTAGCAAACTGGGGTCTGTTTCTCTTGATGCAGGTAATGGACGTATGGAGAGAGACACAAACTGGTGGCATTCAAAAAACGAAGCTGGGGAGTCAGTTGGATTCAGTGTTCCTCATGAAGAGATCAAATATGAAAAGAAAAAGGGCAATGGCAAGAAAAACAGAAAAAAGAAGGAGCAAGAACTGGCAGAGCCGGTGCGGACATCAACTGACAATTGTCAGGGCTCAGTTTGGCCGTTGGCCTCCCATGGTTAATTACGTTACTTCTTGGCTGTCTCTTCGTTGTTTCAGACTACAAAGATCTTATCTAGGTGGCATATAAGCTATGTCCTTATGCAATTCAGCGCACGTAGTTTTTCCTTCCCAGACATGCAGAGAATATGATTACAGAGAGTGATCTACTGTGTTAGGCATAGCTAGGTTAGCTAACATATAAATATCGGTGACCCACCATTATTCAGAGATTATGTGGCGACATGTGTTAGATATCAACTAGCCACTAGTTTGGCTTTCTATTTCACCTCCATTGTAAGGGTGCTTAAGGGTTTATAGGGTTCAATGAAATCAATCTAAGCTTGACCAATCCCGCAGCAATCATTCTGGCTGAAGCAGCTAAAGGCCTGCTTATACTGAGCTATTACCTGCTGAGTCTTATTACAGCCAGGTAGGACCTTGACAAGGAACTTCTGCTTAGCTGAATTATCAACTGAGGCCCTATAGCATTTAGCTGGATAGTCAGAAGGTGATTGAGTGGATTGACCAGAGTAGTCGTCTAATAAATCCTGGCGAGTCTGGAATGAACAAGCTGGTAGTGTCTCCTAATGATGCAGACCCTTCCAGCTCTAGGCATACCATCTTTATCCTAGTAGATGATAGCATTTTTATAAAAGGTAGCTAAAGAAGATAAGGAGCAGAACATTCATTAGCCGCATGATATCCAACAGGACGTGCAGTCAGGACTTAGAAGCCTTCTTCTTCCACAGAAAGCCACTCTAGCTAATAGATCCATCCCTGGGTAAACATAAACAGGACCAAACTTTCTAGAGTGACCTTCCCAAACATATTCTAGTGGATAATCTTCCAGGTATATCTGCTGCTGCGATATCAAGCGCTTTAGCTTAAAGACCCAGATAGTAAATGTGATGTCCTTTATGCAATCATCGAGTTTCACAATCTCAAAGGTCAGCCAGAAGGCGCTGATGGGTAAGGGCATCGTAAACCTACTTCCCTTGTCAATGGTGACGCATTAAGCTTAACTCTACTGTTGCCCTTATCATCCTTATGACTGGGTTGGCAAAAGGAACTGTCTGAAGAGCAGAAAACCACTCTTGCGGGGGTCGGGCTAAGGATCGGCCCGTTCATTAGGGCCAACAGATCTACGAGACTACGACAACCTTTTGTCTTTCTGTCTACTTGACAGTATTGACAAATGCGCGTACAGGATGAATAACGACTCATTCCACTACTTTCCGCAGCTGCCTCTAGAACTACGCCGTCTCATCTGGACGCACTGCCTACCGCATCGTATAGCAGAAGAAGACATCCCTGTCTTCCTTCTCAATGGCAATGAATCCCGTCAAGCCTGCTGGGCCAGGCGCATAACGCACCAAAACGCTCAGCCGCCGACCATCGCATTTGTCAACAGCGAGTCTCGGCAAGTCGCGCTGGAACAGGGCCGCTGGTTGGAATCACAAGAGACGACAAGCCTGGATTCGATATGGGTGCAGCCGCGTTGGGACATGCTGCATCTTAACTGGATGTGAATGCGCTACAATGTCTGGGGAAATATAGATGACCCTTTGAGTCCAATCGCCATGTTCTTGTGGCGGGCGGAGAATCTTAGGATGCAGCCGTCGGTCGTGGTGGAGATTATTCACCCTTTCAGCTTGGAGGCGCTGCTAGAGGGCGCTGATAGTGCTGATGTGTCAGACAGCCCATGGCTTCTTTATTATGGTGGGAAAAATAATGACGTGGCTGACATTGCATATTGCGCGGAAAGTTAAAAGTGGCTAGATACAGCCATGGCAGTGGTTTCTCTGTATATCACCAGGGAAGTAGCTCTGAGGTCTGGCCTGTTTGGGTTGTTGGGCGATGCGCCTGTTCAGATGGTTGATGTTAGTGATGAGACTTGGTTATGGGAATTTCAAGCATTATTTGAGGAACTCACATTAGAAAAGGAACTAGCTATGCAAAAGCTCTTTAAAGTATTTGCAAGTTCTTAATTTCAGTTAGCTATAGAAGTATGGAAAAGACAGGCTAAATAGATCATCCTCACATACATGTGGCAGCGGGCACGAATGGACAACGATGACATTCTTAGGACGGACCTGGGCTCCGCTTGGGTGCCTTACCTGTTGGAGTGAGAGTTCCTCAGGATGTCTGAGTATTTACCTAATGAGAAGCAGCCGTGGGTTAAGCAAGCTAGGCAGAGCGCACCCAAGCTGTGACTGTGGATCATGGTGCGATATTGTACCAATGAGTGTTATAGAAAGGAGCGCCTTCCCAAGTACTTCGGGACTTATTAACAGCAAGTATAGTGACGCCCGTGTCGAAGACTCGCACGCCGTTCATGCCGCTGGTATACGTGCCATCCGTGACACTGGCCTTGGCATTGCTCATGTCATCGACAAAAATGTCGAGTGCCTTATCCAGGGCCTGCACTTTGACGTGGTGGGCCTTGTTGGCTGCTAAATCGGTAGGCGCACTATCCAGCTGCGTCCAGCTATTGCTCGCCCGGCCGAGGACAACGCCAGAAGCAGTATACCTGCGTAGTAGCCATTGTAGGCATCTGCGCCAACGCTCGGATTGGATGCGCGGAAGACAAGACCCGCGTTACCAGAGTTGATGGCAGCGTGACATCGGCCTCGAAGAAGAAGTTTCCGAAGTTGCTGTTCTTCAACTGCGGGATGGAGATTGTCAACAACGGCAATGCACCCTCTCAGTTAAAGAGCGTCGGCTATTTCGAGGCGTTCGACCAGCTGAGGGCGTGTCTGCGAATGAGCGTCACCGAGATCCCGGCCAATAAGTACTCGCACATCCACTTTGCATTTGCCACGGTCACACCCAGTTTTGACGTGGATATCTCAAGCGTCGAGGACGAATACAAAAAAATCGTAAGGATGACCGGCTTTAAAAAGATTCTCTCCTTCAGAGATGCCACCAAGCAGGAGCATCGCGACACATTTGTCAATAACCTGGTGAGCTTCATGAGCTGGCAAGACCTGGATGGCTTTGACTTTGACTGGGAGTATCCTGGTGCACTTGATATTCTGGATATCGCGCCTGGAAGCCCTGACGAAGGCAAAAATTACCTTGCTTTCCTGTAGCTGCTCTGAAGCAAGCTGCCTAGTGGGAAATCCATTTCTATTGTGCTACCGGCTTCTTACTGGTACTTGCAGCAGTATCCTGTCAAACAGATTGCGACATATGTGGATTTCTTTTTTACATGACGTATGACTTGCACGGCCAATGGGGTAAGGGAACGCATAGCCCCTGAAATAAAACTGCATAGAAACGACTTGTGCTAATCATGAACCTGGATGCAGATGTCGACAACAAATCGGCCATTCCCGGCTGCCCAGCCGGTAACTGTCTTCGATCCCACGTCAACAAGACCGAGACGCACGATGCCCTGGTCATGATCACCAAAGCTGGCGTGGAAGCCCGGCAGCTAGTTACTGGCGTCACCAGTTACGGTAGAAGTTTCCGCATGAATGATGCGTCCTGCTCCGGTCCCTTTTGCACCTATGCCGGAGATAGGAATCACTCCATGGCCTATGCCGCACCTTGTACGGCAACTGGTGGCTACATTGCCAACGCCGAGATCAAAGACATCATCAAGAACCACGGCAACTACTCCATCGTCAAGTCGTGCATTGACAAGGATTCTGACTCCAATATTCTCATGTACGGTAATCCCGGAGCGGTGGATTGGGTGGCCTACATGGACGGCGTCGTCAAGGCCAACCGAATCAACTGGATCAAGAGCCTCAACTTTAAGCTGTCCAAGAGGGAGGCACTGGTGGACGCTTCCAAGGCGAGGGGTCTGTTGAAGAATAGCGATCTGGCCAAGTTTCCGCAGAGGTTTAGGGATTAAGATGCTTTGGTGCAAAAGATCGTAAAGAGTTTGTGTGCGAGGAAGTAGGTGTGGCATCGTAAGACGAGGCATTGGCCTTTGTAATTCAGACAGGTTTAACTCTCTGTCCTTTATTTTAGACGAATATAACCTTCGGGAGCACCTTTCCAAATCTATTACCAGGACAAGAGATTCAATATCAGGGGTTCCTACATACGTGGACTATTTCATAGTATGTGGAGGCTCTTAAATCTGTTTGTTTCCCGGAAGAAGACTCTCATGTTCATAACAAGTAAGCAAGTTAAATCGGTTTAGCAGGTATATAGGTATAGGTTCAGGGTTGGTTTAAGCTCCCTTAGGCCTGGACCCATAGAGGGTTAGGCACCCCTAGGCTTGGGTATCGGTGGGTTAGGACTGGGTTGGGTTCCCTGGTTTAGCCTAGATGCTTCACTCTTCCTCCCTTGTGCTGCAGGTCTCATAACCCGTAATGCAGGCACTTCTCCAGGGTATAGATCAATGCATCATCAATGAACTGGGCATAAGCTTCATAGGGTAGTCGGTCTGGATAGAGGTGCTTCACAAGCTCATTCACCTTCGCCCAGTCCGAGACTAAACCTGCCATGATGTGGGTTGACCCCCCTTTTAGCGCTTTCGCTCGTATTAGAACCCCTCTCGATTCCGTGGCCTCGACAGTGGTGATGGTAGGTACTTTTGCATCCCCTGTAAGAGTAGCAACCTGTTGCACCCTTCGCGCATTGCTGAAAGTGTTCATTCTTGACCCGTATATATATGTTGATAGAGTGTAATATAGAACACATTCTTGGCTGTACATGCATCTTCCATTGAACTTACACTCCTGACCTTGGTATGGGCTTCTTAATGGCATTCTCAACTCTTACCTTCTTGCAGTTGCATGGGATGAACCAAGCGATATTCTTCGGGGCCTTACTGGACATAGAAAAGTCATATCCGATCTCCGAGTCCGACTCCGAGGAAAACCCCGAGAGATGTGCCGAGACCGAGTCCGGGGCTTTGCCTCCTCGGATTTGATTTCCGCTTACGGCATGACAGTATGCGTAGCCTCCTCTGCCTATCAGTCCCACCACGTCTTCATCGTGAGTCCGACGAGTATTTGTCTGCCTGGGTGGCAATTCAAGGTCACTAGGTGTACGTGTACGTAGACAATGTGACTCATAATGGTCATTATAGCTGCCTGGACAGATATATAAATCGTAGTCAGTCCGTGGGATTTGAACCACGCAGTCTTTATAGACAGATCAAGTCCATATAATCATACAGTATCCAGTCAACATGCAGCACTCATGCCATTTTAGTCAGCATCCCCTAGCCTGGGATATCACCATGCTAGAGGAACATCCTTTCTTTGCTCACCCTCATCCTCCTTCATACAATGACAGCTTCGAGAGCAGCTCCGGGGGACCCTCAAAAGGCGAGAAAAAGGCGTACGAAGAAAGAGCCAAAGAGGGTATGGAAGATGAACATCCCGAAAAGCCAGAATTCGGATTCCGTCATTCCTGTGGCCGTGGCCGTCGCGGATTTCTTCATCGCCATCTTGGGCCAGGATGTCACCTACATCCCCACAAACACGAGCATGACGAGGAGAATGGATTCAGCCGATGGACTGAACACGAAGGACCGGGATTCGGACATCACCACCACCACTCTCACCACAGACGAGGTCACCCCTGGGGAATGTTCCGCGGACTAGGACGAGGCAGAGGCTTCGGCCATCATTTTTACAGCTTCCACCATATGCATCCCCGCTTCCGCTCTTTTCATCACTCACACGACCCGACCAATTTCACGCCCCCGGTCGACGTCTTCGTCACACCTACCCACACGATCATCCACGCATCGCTTCCGGGAGCTCAAAGATCGGATTTGAGCGTTGCGTATGATGCATCGCGTTCCGTGCTCCGCATGGCTGGGGTTGTGCACCGTCCCGGAGTTGATGAGGAGATGTATAGGGCTTTGCTGATTGGGGAGAGAGGGCGTCATTTGGGAGTGTTTGAAAGGGAGGTGCCGATTTCCCACAATGTTGCCGTCGAGGGGATCCGTGCTCGACTGGTTGATGGCGTTCTGAGGGTTGCACTTCCTAGGGTTGAGGGAGAAGTTCAACAAACCGACGAGGAGATGGACGAGGTAGAAAAGGAGGGTGCAAGTAGTGGATTGAACATTGATGGAAAAGAGGAAGAACACGAGATGGAAGATGAAGTTGAGCGGGAGTATGTGAAGGTGGATATCCAGTGATTCTTTTTCATCATAGTATAAAAAACAGTATCTATATAGGGCAGGACAGCGCATGAATCTATTCCACCCTATATCACAATATGACTAGATTTTAGTTCATCCATATTCCACCGGTGGTACTCTATCTTCTTCCTTAAGTTGACATGAGTAGCAACTGCCACTCCAATCTACCTTTAATACACTTTCTCAAAGGATTGACAGTCATAGTGGTGCTAATAAGCTTAGGACTAAGTGGGTCTGGTCCTTTTATTTCTTGGTGCTGGGTACGGCAAGCCATATTTTAGAGTTTTAAGGATGTATTGCTGCTAATTCAGCCTATATAAGTCTATACTTTAACCTTTATATCTATGTAATACCTCATCCTTCTATTAATCTTAAGTCTTATAAGCCTAAGCTAATTAATCTCTATCAAAATAGTACCATCAGACCATCCACCACGGAAAATACACGGAACACCAACGGCGCCTATGAGGGACCACCCTGCGGTTGATCCTTTGTGAACTGTCGCCTTAGATACTTCGCTTGGACCATGGATTCCCCCAATGATAAGAACGGGGTCCACAGACGGCGCCTGAGGGGAGTGATAACGATGGGAGGGGCGGACCCCGAAGGATCTAAGCACAGTCCACAAGGCAGACACCTGCATTTAGACCCTTCTCGCCTCTGATCAGACCATCCACTACGGGAAATACACGGAACACCAACGGCGCCCCGCCTTAGATCCCTGCCTCAACCATGTCGTCTGTGTGTTGCGCCAATAGCTGCTCATGTTTTCGAATGTCAACTTGATATCAACTTTTAACCCGTGCTAGGCCACCAATAATTCTCTATTATATGCCTCTGACCACTAACTCCTCAAAAGTTATATAAGGGAAGCAACGTACGCAGAAGTGCACACCAGCATATGATGCAGAATACATAGTCAACTTGTCCCTATACCGTAAATCCGTAATGCTCTTTCTACTGTTAATCACCTGCTTCTGAACCCATTCCGACCATGCGAGGGCTTGCCAGTCTTCCAAGAGGAATATCGGGGCAGCTACGTACCAAAGGTTATCGACACTGGATATGGTCTCCAGGTTGTGGCGCCGGATACTCCATACGTGGCAGCGGCCGGCCCAGACAAGTTATACTTCATCGACACCCGGTTTGACCCTGAGACCGCAAAGCACGTGAAGCAACAGATTGAGAAGGCAGCTGTGCCCAACCCGGAGGAGTACTTCGCCATAGATGAGATTGCGGCTACAGCGGAAATAAAAAACTCTGTGACCGGCGAAACAACATTCGTGTTTGATCCCCCCTATGCCAGGGTGCTGTTCGCAAAGGGAATGAACAGGCGCAACCCGGAGCTCAGACTGCCTGAGCATGAGCCCGCCGGTGATTGGTTGGTGACCTACGACCTGGACAATATACTTATGAAGCGGGACCAAGCAACCACACCCTGAGCGACCACCCTGTTCGTCTAAAACCTGCGCGTTTATCAACCCAAATTCTCGACGTACACTAAGTGATATGAGTGAAATCCGCTAGCTTAAGCAGATTATATTCCCGCAAATCTAGGCTTGGTCCGGCTTTCTGTTGAGCCACCTGTTCCGACCAACCGTGAGATGGCTTGTTGTAGCTGGGTAGTAGATAGTCTTTGTTAGCAGAGTCATCTGAGTCTGGAACTCTTCACCAGAGGGCAGTATTTTACAGGAAGTAATAAGTATAGGCAGAGAAATCACGTTTATGGGCTTTACGACAGGAAGACTGGAGCTCTTATCTTATCGGCCCTGAGGAAACACGCTAACCGGAGTTGTCATCTGCGGAGAACAAGGACAACAGCTCATTCTCCCCCTCAACCATCCACCTTGCCATCTTCAGGACTTGATCAAAATGCGACGAAGAATAACATTTGTCCAGAGGCCAGAATCTCCCTTTCACGTCGACCAGGCCGTGTTAACGAGCGATGCGCTGTCCATTACCCACCTGGACGCGGCGCGCGAGGAGCGGGCAACATTCGGCTTTGATGAGCTTCCTTCAGAGGTAAGTGGTGACTCTACAGGTAGCAGTCGCTAGACTAACGTTTGCTTATATGAATAGATCTGGCAGGTTCTGAAATCAAGTCACGAGCTTCATATCCGGTGGGCTACGGAGCGGCCTTATGAGATCGGAGCGCCATTCTCCAGTCGGATATCGCCTGGTTTGCATGTTTACTATACCCCTGGGACTGCGGGGGAGACGGGGTGCGTATCTAGAGACGTATTCTTTTGCATGTGGTTAATGCAGGTTACAGAATGGGATTGTGCTCGCTATTGAAAAGGGTATTCGATGAGTCGCTAGAATGTCACAGTCTCAGGGTGAGTTCAGTTCGTCGGTCATTTGATCAGGAATGCACTCTAATTCTCGGTCCTTAGTCCTCCTTTATACAACCTCCTATTCTCTCGGAACGATTTGCTGCTACCGCCGCCTTCCAGTATTACAGTCATCTCCCCTCCCTGCAGAATCTGGTCGCCTTCATTCAACACAAGTTCTGTGACCGGTCGGACGAGAAATGCTTTCGTCATGCGGAATCAATACTTTCTGCAGACTCGGTCGATATCAACTACGACAGCATTTCGCATGCGCTGACCGTGTCTGGGTATTGGTCGAAGTCACCAGGCCAAGGATGGACCGAGCAGATCAGGAAGCATGCCGCAGATACACACCAGGTCGAGGTCGGGCTTCTCGGTGTCGAGAGCGCCATTGAGCCCGAAGAATTGAAAATGGGTGGTCTACTGGGGGTTGTTGGACAGGACGAAAAGTTGAGTACGTGGTATACAGGACGACAGACGGAGTTGGTACCATGCTGACAATGTTCCAGAACCGACCTTGTTCTCATTTCCCTCGCGCCACCACCCTCTTCCAGCTGATGCGATCTACACCGTCTCCTTCCCCGCCCCAACCGGGCTCCATCCCACTCTAACCATCTCAATGCCCCGCGCGTCGCTGAAGCGGCCCCCCGCACCTCCGGACGCGACATGCGCCCTCCACACATACCTGACCCTACCGTCGTGGATCTTCGGCGACAAATACCAGCTCTCAACAACAGACCCCCTCTTCCTCAGCTCCCACAACCTAGCCGCTCTCCGCACTGTAGCAGGAGAAACAGACCTCGAAGCCCCAGACTGGTTCGTCTCCCGCTGGGGCTCAAACTGGCTGCTCGAGCTCGCAACACCCCTCCATCCGGAAACCAGCCCAGAGGAGTGGAACGCCACGATCCCCCTGCACCTGCGATACCTGCACCCTTCGCAGTCCGGGTACCGCTCTGCCGCGGTTCCCTGGCCGATCGTCTTCTGGGCGTGCACGGCAGAAGACGGCACCAAGATGGGTGTCAACCCGTTTGATCGGGTGAATCTCGGCTGGGAGGGCTTGTTCGGCCCCCGGACAATGTTCTATCAATTACATCCGGCGCCGACGGAGGGCAAGGACCGCCTTGTGGAAGAGCTGGAAGTCCCTGTTCTGCGGCTGCGAGAGGATGCGGGATTTTTCCAAAGCAAGACTATCGAGCTGGGGACGGTGGTTGTCGTTGGGCTGGGGCTGCTGTGGGTCCTGTGGAAGCTTGGTCTCGTCGCGTGGATGGCAGGCACACGGCCAAGCACAAGGACCCAGAAGAGAACAGACAAGCAGCGTAAGGCCGAATAGCGATTAATCATGTCATTATCAATGGACGTCCATGTATATATTATTGAGGACTGGGTCCTAATAATGCCACTCATCGGAATATAGCTAGTAATGTAAGCCAAAAGAAAAGCAAGGGTATCAATCTGCCTCGAACAATATCCATCACAAACAAAGTAACTGCAGCTCAAATCCCCATCTCCGGCAACGGCCACGGCACATCCGTCATCAGGAACTGATCGAGATCGAAATTCTGCAAACTCGGCATATCGATCATCAGATCGCCCAACCAGGACATCTCCGAGCGGTCGGCCACAGACTGAGACTGCGGTGGCGGCTGCGCTTGACGCTGCACCGAGGTAGACCCGCCCCCCGCAGCCTCGACGCTAACCCGCGGCGCCGCGGCGGCCGCATTCGCATTAACCCGGAGAACATCGCGGAGCGCCCGCGTGTCTTCTTCCTTGCGGCGCTGATGCAGTAGAATGAGCAGGTAGGCGGTGCTGTAGGCTTCGCGCATGACCTCCGTGTCGTAGGCGGCGGCGACCTCGCGGAGGGTGCGCATTGCTTCACCCAGGAGGGCGAGCGAGGCGCGGCTGTCAATTGCAAGCAAGGTGCAGACGATCTGGAAGGGGACGTTGGCGATCTGGTGCCAGGGGCAGACGGAGGCGACCATTTCGCGGGCGGCGCGCAGGCCGGTGCCGGCCAGGGCGAGGACGCGGTCGAGCAGGTCGCCCGAGATGCTGGAGTTGAGGGCGCGGAGGCGCCGGTACAGGCAGAGCATGAGGTTACATTGCGCGAGGATGAGGGGTGGCTGGACGTGGATGACGTCGAGGACGGCGGCGAGGGCGGATTCCAGGCCGGGCGCGTCTTGGGTTTGCTTTGGGTCGAGGCTTTCCGAGACGGGGAGGAGATTGAAGATCTCTGAGGGGCTGTTGGGGGATCGGGGCGCGGGTGGGAGGGAGGTTGCGCCGTGCAGGACGACTCGGGACCGGCCGAGTTCGAAGGAGATCCACACGTTTAGGTGGCGGGCCATGCCGAAGAGTCGGCGGCGGATTTCTGGGGCGCAGGGTGTTGTTGTCTGGCCGAGGGAGGTATCTGGCAAGGGCTCGAGATGGAGACCCGATGCCTCGATGAGGTGCATCAGCGTGCAGCTGGCCATCCAGGCGACGTGGGGGGATGCTGTCATGCGGAGGTACGCGACTCGCAGCACCCAGCCGGTGACGATGTCCACCGACGCGGGGGTGTCGACGAGCAGACTATGTTCAAGGATGCGTCGAGCGGTTTCGGCCACCCGGTACTCTGCGGGGACGGCTCGTCGCCGTGAGAAGAGAAATCCGAGCGCCGCTATGCCGCAAAGTACCGCATCGTAGGGCCCGTATGGCAGGGCTGACTCGGACGAGGAAGGCAGCCATCGTCTGCTGACCTGGCGGAGTACAACATCACGGTCAAGGAATGGGTAGCACGAATCGACTTTTTCAAAGTAGAATGTCATCAACGACCGCATCTCGTCTTGGGAGATGATGTCCACGATAGGCACAGCCGTGGCCGAGGCCGCCGTAGGCATGGCCGATGGTGACGGGTGACGAGCCCCGACGTTCCAGGCGAAAAGATGCAATCTCGGCGCATTGGCTGGATCCAGCTTGAGGCCTAATCTGCGCACAAACGCAGCGCCCGAATTGGCCTCGAGCGAACTGACGTCGATGCTTGTCGAGTCCCCGGGGGTCGACTGCTCCTGGCTCTTCGGCCGAGGTGACTCGTCGATGACACTAGGCCTACGCATCGATAGACCGACTGATGGCCGAAATGCCTTGACATCTTTCTTTTTGCGAGATTGGATGTCGTAATGACACTCGGAGGCTGCCCCCAACTGTACACAGGTGCTGCATGGTTGGTCACCGGAGCACTTCCGTTTGCGCGACTGGCATGATGTGCAGGCGATTCTGGAGCGCTTTCGCGGTCCTGGCTCAGTCATGGTGTTCAGAGCATTTCACGTCAGCATTTGTTGATAAGCAATTTGCGGTAGAAGACTCTCCCTTGGTTGTGGGGACGTTGTACGGGGTACTCCAGATGCGGTCCACGGTAGATTAGTGTTTTGGTTATGTCCATGTGGAGTGGTCTGGGAATCACGCTTCGGAGGGGCCAACGGTTTGTTTTCTCTCTGTACAACCAAAGCTCATCGACAACACGGCTCTCAACTGATTCCCCATTATGATCAGAATATTATTGAGTATAAAACCTAACTAAAATAAATGCACAGAGCTATGATTTCAGTCGATATTACGCTAACGCTGATAAACAGTTATCTCAATCCTCATACTTTCGTCCGTCTGGATAGCCCATGAGATCCTCTAGTTTCTTCAGGTCGGGCATGCCTGCAGGACCAGGCATGTAGTGGATATTATCTCGGAAGGTGGTTCCATTCCACCAGATCTCGTTCTTGTGGAGTGCTTCCATGATGCGGGCAGAGTCGATATATGTGCGGATTTCCACCATCTGCCCCTGATCCCATCGAGTTACCCAGACGTTGACAATGTCGAAGTCATCTCCTGCGTATTTTCTCATATCAGCACTGTTCACTGAAATGACAGCTGTGAACTCACCTGAATTCATTACCCCCCTGAAATTGACCTCCTGAACAGACCATCGCTCATTACAGCCTCCATGGATCGCTTGAGGGTGGATCTCGAATTTGTCTGCATGGTCGAGGAACAGCACACTGACTCGTCGCAGGGCATTGACATAGAAATGCAGCAGATCGTTGTAGTGACCAGCGATGGGATGGTGTCCGACCACTGTGAAACTCACGTTCTTGTGGATGAGGGTGAAGAGTTTGTTCATATCCTTTTCGAGATCTTTGAACGAGTCCCAAATGTGCATCTGCGAGACGTATTTGCAGTCCGTCGACGGGTTCTCGAACTTGAATCCTTCTCTGTCGCGGTGGTCTGGGGGACTGTCGACAAGACCGTCGCCATTACATCGGCCACCGGGGTCGACAATGCCAGAACCATCGCACCCGGGAGCTTCTAGGGGAGTTTGGGATTGTGGGACTGGCTGTTGCTGGTGTTGGTACGATTGAAATGGTAGAACCCCCCAGCTAAGGATCCCTGCTGGAAGGGTTATGGCTACCAGGGCCTGAAGGAGGTAATTGAAGCAAACCATTGATCCTAGAGAGAGAGAGTCTGCTGGATGGGGAACCACATTATGACTCTCTACAGAAGAAACGTCGTGTTCGATATATAGCGGAGGCTCTCATTTTGCCTGGAGGTCCCGACGTTGAAATTCCCCGATTTGATAGGACCTGTGCAACCAAGTACCACATTGTACACCTACAGTCATGGTTGAGGTGACATAGCATGAAGCTCGCACTCCCTGAAAGTCGCCGATTCGCAATTGCTCATAAGCGAGATGGTCAGGATGATGACTTTTGTATTCCCTACTCAGGTGATACGGTTTCACAGAGGCAAAGTACCCGTTGTAAAAAGGGTTGCTAGTAGGTTTGATAAGTTGATAGTTCTTCCCTCTCTTTCTACAAGTACGCATGTTGTCCAGATATCTATTACACACTGACGTCAAATGATAAGATAACAGAGCCACCGATTCGCCTTACATAGCAATTAGACTACTCCGTAGACATAGTGTATTCCAGAGAAGGTAAGAGGAATCATGGAGGAATTGCCTTTTTGATTCAGCCAATCGGCCCTCTTACTGTGAAAGACTAACCACAGTCCATCATTGTTGAGAATTGGGACTCCGCAGATCCGGTGAGTCATATCTCAGGAGACAACTAAGCCATCGATGATGACAGCGGTGTGATGGAGGGATGGAGATGCCTTAGTGCACCAAAGGCATTTTCTGATGAGCGGTGTCCTGACTCTCTATCCACTTATGATACTGCAGATATTTAGAGATCACAATCGCTAAGATAATCGCATTATCAATCGCTGCAGAATTGCCCAATCCATAGCGTAATGAGTTACCAACAGACAAGAAAAGGAAGCGGAGAAGTGCCTCCGATCGCGGAACTCGAAATGCAATTGCTGTGATTGGTCCATCACGCCTTTTGGGCCCTGGCAGTCGGTGTAGCGGGGCACGTGCCGCCCAACCCGGGCCGAAGATCGCACTGGTCCGGGCAGCTCCTGTTGCGACCCTCAAATTCTGCCTCTCACCCGCTTTTCCTTTCTTCTTCCTTTCTCTTCTCTCTTTTCATCCCATCTGTCAGTCCTAGGACATCATCCATCAACACACCCCCCACAAACACAACTACATCATCGTTCTCTGATCGATTCATGTCTTTTTAGACATCACACCCATCAACAGATATTTCAGTGACTGGTAACAGCACAGTCGCGCTTATGGTTCTGGCACCCACCGTCTTCACTTCTCAGGTATGTCTTGTCCTTGCCTATGGCCACATGGATGTCATACCCGCCACCACCATACATCCACACCAATATAAAAAACATTGCTGACATAGTACCCTCCAGGACTACATCTCGGATCACCTCTGGAAAGCTTCCGGAAACTATTGAGACACCCGCATCACTACACGCTTCCACAATTCTTCGTCTACCCCAACAAATAATGTTTGCTCGTGTATTCAAGGCTATGCCCGCCAGGGCTTCAGCCTTGACTTCCGTGAATGCTTCCATTCAGGCTCGCTTCATGGCTACTGTTCGTCAGCAGCGTACTGCTCATGAGCGTGCCACTTTCACGATTCGAGATGGTCCGATCTTCCACGGCAAGTCCTTCGGAGCTCGCACCAACATCTCCGGTGAAGCCGTCTTCACCACCTCTCTGGTTGGATATCCCGAGTCTCTGACCGATCCTTCCTACCGTGGTCAGATCTTGGTCTTCACTCAGCCCTTGATTGGCAACTACGGCGTGCCTTCTGCTGAGCGGGACCAGCACGGTCTTCTCAAGTATTTCGAGTCCCCCAACCTCCAGGCCGCTGGTGTGGTTGTGGCCGATGTGGCTGAGCAGTACAGCCACTGGACCGCCGTCGAGTCTCTCGGCGAGTGGTGTGCTCGTGAAGGCGTTCCTGCCATCTCCGGTGTCGATACTCGTGCTATCGTCACCTATCTGCGTGAGCAGGGTTCTTCCCTCGCTCGTATCACCGTTGGCGAGGAGTACGACGCCGACCAAGACGAGGCTTTCACCGATCCTGAACAGATCCACCTTGTCCGCCAGGTCAGCACCAAGGCTCCTTTCCACGTGAGCGCAGCCGATCCTCAGTGCCATGTCGCTGTCATCGACTGTGGTGTCAAGGAGAACATTCTGCGTAGTCTGGTCAGCCGTGGCGCCAGCATCACGGTGTTCCCCTTCGACTACCCCATCCACAAGGTGGCCCACCACTTCGACGGTGTCTTCATCTCCAATGGCCCCGGTGACCCAACTCACTGCCAAGAGACCACCTACCACCTTCGTCGCTTGATGGAGACCTCTCAGGTGCCCATCTTCGGTATTTGCCTGGGCCACCAGCTGCTTGCTCTGGCCGCTGGTGCTCGCACCATCAAGCTCAAGTATGGTAACCGTGCTCACAACATCCCCGCTCTGGACCTGAGCACGGGCCGCTGCCACATCACCAGTCAGAACCACGGTTACGCTGTAGATGCGTCTACCCTGCCCTCTGACTGGAAGCCCTACTTTGTCAACCTGAACGACTCCAGCAATGAGGGTATGATCCACAAGTCTCGTCCCATTTTCAGCACACAGTTCCACCCCGAGGCCAAGGGAGGTCCTCTGGACTCCTCTTACCTCTTCGACATCTACATCGACAGTGTGAAGAAGTACAAGGCTAGCCAGGCCGCGTTTCACCCTCAGCGGGACAGCCTCCCCAGCCCCCTGTTGGTTGATCTGCTTGCCAAGGAGCGTGTCGGTGTACAGCCCACTATCGGCATGCAGAACATTGCTGCTGCCGCCACTGCCGCTGCCGCTGCCGCTTAATTGAATTGCTGGGTCTGTTCTTGTTTTCTGGAGTCATGGTTGTTATGGGCTGGATATATTGGAATCGTTCTTGTCATTAAGTTGATCAAATGCAATTATGAATTTTGCTTATCACTGTATAATGACTGTAGGCAACTGATTGTAAGGACCACATCTGCAACCGAGGCGTCGCTGCCATTGTTTTACTTTAAAAGTCTTTTGACTTTATATTTGGTAGTCACAATCATCGCGAGACCCTGTAAGTTATCAGAGCACCGAAGTAGCTCAAATACCATTAGATTAGACTACCGGAAACTGTTCAATCTCGGATTCGTTCATTCATAAAATCCTAGCATACTATGCCCAGCCTACTTGGCCACTATCGAAACCACATCCTCATCCGCCACAACATGACCCAGTCCCACCCGCTGCGGGATATGTCTCGCACTCGCACCCCAGACCAAAGCATACTTGAACGTCTCCTTCAGCGTCCGATGGATGGAGTCACAGACATCCTCGATCGTCGAGTTGCTGCGCACGATCAGCGCCTCTGAGAAGTCGGGGTCTTCTCCTTTCCTGTAGACTGTCAATACCCGAGTGGAATTCTGTGGAAGGGCTTGGGGGAGTACCGTTTCGTGTATACTCTGATCAAGCGCAGTTCCGTCCAGATGCGTTCGACGACGTCTTGCACGCCTAGATCGAGTTCGCAGCTCATGACGGCTGTGTGTGGTTCGCGGGCGAGCTTGTCGAGGAAGTCGAGGCTGACGCTGTCGATTTTGTTGTAGACGTAGAGACTTTAGTGGGTTAGTAATCGTTTAATGGACTGGAAGGGGTTGGCTGGGTACCATCTGATGTATTTTCTGTGGTCTTTCATGATGACGTCGATGAAGTCGTCGATTGTTGCTAGGTTGTCCGTTAGTATGCAGTCTGGAGCATACGCAAAGGGCTGTTGGCGTGAGCTTACCGTTCTCGTCTCGCACTAGGACCTCGCAGTTGAGGATCTTGTAGTCTTTCAAGACATTGAAGATCATCTTCTCGTCGAGGTTCTTGGGGGGTGTCTGGAAGGTGATTTTCATGCCGCCGGCCTTTTTGGCTTTGAGGTAGATGTTGCTGTTGAAGTCAGTATGGAATCTGAGGGAGGTGGTTGCTTGTGTCCTTACGGAGGCTCCTTGTTAAGACGGATCCCAACGGCGTCTAATTCTGCTTCCAGCAGGGCTCGCTGTTCGGCGCGTTTTGTAGCGTCCAGGACCATGAGGATGAGATCGCTCGTCTGGACATGGTCAGAAGATCATTCCTGAAGCGTTGTCACAGACAGTAGCTTGGTACACACCTTCGCTGCAGAGATAACCTGTCGTCCTCGCCCCTTACCCTCAGCAGCGCCTTCAATGATACCCGGAAGATCAAGAATCTGGATCTCCGCACCGCCATACTCCAGCACACCGGGGATGGCCGTGAGCGTGGTGAACGAGTACGCGGCAGCCTCGCTCCTGGTCTTGGTGATCTTGGACAAGAACGTCGATTTACCGACGGACGGGAAACCGACAAGAGCAACCCGGGCATCGCCGCTCTTGCTCACGTCGAACCCTGTGCCGCCACCGCCGGCGCCGCCGGTGGGCTCCAGCAGCTGTGCTCTTAATCTCGCGAGTTTTCTGCATGCGGGTTAGATTGTGTGCAAACGCACGCATAACGGGCAACACTCACCCTTTCAGCAGACCAAGATGGTATTCTGGATCTAGTCAGAACATGGACTCGACTATGGATGCATTGGAGTCCCACCTGTGGCCTTGTTTTCTGTTCTCCGGGTTAGCTGCGGGGTGCTCTGGATAGAGGCATGGATGACTTACTCTGCGTCCTGCGCATCTCCTCCTCAATCCTGCATAGTTGCTACATGAGTTGTCTGGTTTTGTGAAGAAATACGGCGCAAAACGTACTCTTTGATTTTCTCTGTAATGTTCACCATCTTGACGGTGGGGGAGTCCCAGGACCCCTCTTATGCTTCGACTTGTATGTACTTGGTAAAAGAAAGAAGACCGCTTCAAGAGGTCTTGTCAGTGTAATAGCAGGAGTATTAGACAGGAAATGAAAGAATCTCCACAATGAAATACAATGTCTCGAATACAGCTTTAGAAAAGTCGTCTAGCAAAGCATATCAAAATCATCGCAGCAAAAACGGCGCCAAGACCCGTCGCTTACATAATCTCAACATCGCCTCGTGATTTCACCTGAAGGCATCGCAG